AAAAAAACTATTTTTACTTTGTGTAGGATTATTTGTGTAGTATGTCAACCAGTATGTTATTATAAGGCCATTTCTTATCTTTCTTGCTATTAGTACTTTAAAACAGGAACTACCTCTTGCAAATAGGGATATATAGCAATCAAGTAGTATTAAACTTGAGGCTTCATGTAAAAATATTGTTCAAATTGTCTTAAGATGTGGTGAAATCTAAAGGAGTAAGAAATTTAAAGAAGGGCTTCAGTATCAAGTTTTAATAGTGTCTACTTACCTGGAATAAAAGAATAACAGACTTTATTAGAGGACTCTTACTACAAAAGCTGAAAAAATTCTCAGTTATTTATCATTTTCTAACTATGTATTTAATAACATTTCAGGAATTCTAATATTCACTGGTTAAGATCTATCGGATTTTGACAAAGAATTTGTACTTCAGTTTTATTAGGTATTTTATTATTTTTCAATATACAGAGGACATTGAGTTGTTACATAAACTATTTTACAGTTGAGTTTGGGGAATTATTTTATATTGGTGATCTGAAAATGAACACTGTTTTATTTTTTTAAGCTTTTTAAAGAATACATTTTAAAAAGATAAGTGATCTTGGAGTGCCTGGGTGACTCTCCAGTGGGTTAAGCATCGGACTCTTGATTTTGGCTCAGGTCATGATTTCAGGATTGCGAGATCAAGCTCTGTGTTGTGCTTCTCGCTCGGTGTGAAGCCTGCTTAAGATTCTCTCTTTCCCTCACCCTAGGCCCCTGCTCTTTAAAAAATAAAAATAAAATCTGGTTTAATACAAGAAAATAAGGGACACCTGGGTGGCTCAGCGGTCGAGCATCTGCCTTTGGCTGAGGGTGTGATCCCAGGATCCTGGGATCGAGTCCCACATCAGGCTCCCTGCATAGAGCCTGCTCCTTCCTCAGCCTCTGCCTCTGCCTCTTTCTCTCCATGTCTCTCATGAATAAATAGATAGAATCTTTAAAAAATATATACAAGAAAATAAGAATCTTTCCTCACAACTTAAATCTTAAAAAGCAAGAAGAAGGGTGCCTGGCTGGCTCAGTTGGTGGAGCATGTGATTCTTCAACTTGGGGTCGTGAGTTTGAGCCCCACATTGGGTGTAGAGATTACTACAATATATATTTTTTTAATAGTAAGAAGGAAAAAAGGCTCTTAAGTACTTCATTATCCTTTCTTCACTTCACTCACTTTAGTTGTTCAAGCCGTATTCAGTTATCCTAGGCAGACCTTGAGGCACTTCTCTTACGCCTTCTATACTCTTGAACATAATCCCATTATAACACATTTTATATTATATAATTTTAGTTTACCTATTTCTCATTGTGTCTCTGCCCCTCTCCCTGTGTGTCTCATGAATAAATAAATAAAATCTTTCAAAAAATAAATTAATTAGTCCTTATATTGTATATTTTTGTCCTGTTGTTTACTTGTGTTTCAGTAATATTTAACTGTATTAGAATTTTGGAAATGTCACACCTCTCGACCTAATAGGTGTTATAATTGATGTTAAAAATTTGAATCCCTGCTACCAAGAGAGATACATCATGGTAATATATTTTTGATAAAAATGAAATTTTTGTACATACTGCTCTTAGAACTAAGGAACAATATTTATTTCTAAAGATAAAGAACAATCATTACCTTGTTTCCTTTTTATCAAGTATAAAGAAATTTTAAACTAGTTTAAGAGGAATTTAAGAGAATTTGATTATTCTCATACTTTAGATTTTGCTTTTTTTTTTTTTAAGACTTTACTTATTTATTCAGGAGAGACAGAGAGAGAGAGAGAGAGAGAGAGAGAGAGAGAGAGAGAGAGAAGCAGAGACATAGGCAGAGGAAGAAGCAGGCTCCATGCAGGGAGCCCGATGCGGGACTCGATCCTGAGACTCCAGGATCAGGCCTTCGGCCGAAGGCAGGTGCTCAACCACTGAGCCACCACCCTGGCGTCACAGATTTTGCATATTTTAAAACCTGAATAGCATTTTTCACATTGCAGAATAAAATACTACATTTTGTATTATAGAATGATATGTATATATTTAAAAAGCCTACAGCAGGGGATCCCTGGGTGGCTCAGCGGTTTAGTGCCTGCCTTTGGGCCAGGGCGCGGTCCTGGAGTCCCGGGATCAGGTCCCGCGTCGGGCTACTGGTGTGGAGCCTGCTTCTCCCTCTGTCTCTCTCTCTCTCTCTCTCTCTCTCTCTCTCTCGAATAAATAAATAAATCTTAAAAAAATAAAATAAAAAGCCTACAGCAGGCATTATCCTAAATGAAGGAAACATCAGAAGCATTCACTTTGAAATTAGGAATGAGGAAAGAGGAAGTTACTACTTTTGTTCAATGCAGATTATAGCCAGTGCAGTGCGACCTGATTGAAAATGCAGAAGTAAAACTGTAATTATTGGAAGCTATTATTTATGGTGAAGACTCAAAAGGACATACAAATAGATTATTAAAATAATAACTTTAAAAGGGTGAATGGATGTAAAATTAATATACAAATGTCAGTTGCATTTCTGTATATCAACAAATAATTAAAGGAAATATTGTCAGAAAATATGAAGTACATGGCAAAAATTTAAGAAATGATCAAGATTTCTTTAGGGAAAATTATAAGACTTTATTATGAGATGATAGAGAACACCTACACTGAGGAGCTATATGTCATGCTCACTAATATCAATATTATAAAGATGGCATGTTTTCCCCTAATTGATACACAGACTCAATGCAAATCCAAACTCTTGAGATATTTTTTTTATTAAATATGATAAAATTATTTTGAGCAGGAGAAGGAGGATACTTTATTAGAAGAGAAACAGAAGTGAGAAACTGACCTTATCAATATTAAGGTTTATTATGAAGAATTATTAAGGCAGTGTAGTGTTGGAATGACAATAGACAGATTGGCCAGTGGAGTAGAATTGTGAGCCCAGAAAGAGACTTAAGAAAATATGAGACTTAAGTCGGATTTTTCTACCTCTGTTATATACAAAAATCAACTGAAGATGGATTACAGATTTTAGTGTAAATCAACATTTGTTAAGACTCTTGGCAAAAAGTATTAGTAAACAGATTTGTCCTTGGCATATAGAAAGACACAAAACAACATTTTATAAACCGTTGATAAATTTGATGATACTCTTAATTTGATTTTATTGTATTTTTCAGTTGTAGAATTTGGTTCCTTTCCTAATAGTTTCAAGTTCTCTGCTAAACTCAGTCTTGTCTTTTAACTCCTTGAATGTATTAAGTGTACTTTAATCATGTGTCTGCAGACTTCATTATTTGGATCCTTCGTGGTCTATTACTCTTTTTGGTGGAAGTGGGTCAAAGGGAGAGGGAGGGAGAGAATTTTAAGCAGGCTTTATGCCCAGCACAGAACATGACGCAGAACTCAATCTCACAACCCTGAGATCATGACCTGGGCTGAAAATCAAGAATCAGATGCTTAACGACTGACCCACCCAGGCACCCCTGGTCTATTTCTGTAGGCTGTTGTTTTTCTTTTCTTTAAAAAAGAGAAAGAAAAATCCCTCTATTTTGTCTCCTCATTTGCCTGGTTATTTAAAATAGAATACCAGTCATCATATTTGAAAAATTACACAGATTTTAGGCCAGGATATTGTTATCTACCTTAAAGATTTTCTTGTGGTAGGTAGTAAGTTAGCAGTCTCAGATTGCCTCCAATCAGTGAGTGATTTAGATTATTTGAAACCAAACTTCATCTCTGTGAAGTCTGGTATCTTTCCAATTCATTCTTAACTCCTAAGGTATAGCTCCTTCAGGGCCCCAACCAAAGTATTGGGCATTTATCAGATCTTCCATCCTGGGTAGAACCTGAACTCTTGTTTTTTCACTATAGGCTATTGAGAGTTTATCTCAGCTTCTCATTTTCCTAGCTACCTCTTACAAAATTGGCAGACTCTATCTGGGGAAAAAAAAAAAAAGGCTTCTTATTCTGAACTTACCTTTCTGGGTTTCTGTGACACTGTGATTTATAATAAATATATAATTGTCTTCACCATCATTCCTGGCAAAGAGCTCCTAAAATCCTTGCTAAGTGATAACAGCAAAAAAATTCAAAGGAGTGTCGTTTGTTATTTGTAATAACCCCTTTGCAGTCACACCTGTTATGTCATATTGTGTTATTACATGAATACCTGCATCACAGGTGTATATTTTGACCTTCTAGTTGTACGGATAAGTTCTTTGGAATCTATATGCATTTTTATTAACCACAAATGAATTCTAAAATCATACTTCCTCCTAACATGATGCAACACACTAACCTTCTTCCCAAATTGGCGGAGTCCTATATTTGTCTTTGGTTGATGATCATTCCTCTTCAGGATGAGTCACACTTTGTCTTTGACATTCTGTAACCTTCCAAGAGAACTTCCAAGCTCATTCTGGTTGCTGGCCAAATTTAGTTCTTTATATAGTGGCAGAAATGCAGACCCCGTTCCCCTCTGGCTATCAGCTGGGGCTTAGGCTTTGAGCATCTGCCTTCCACTCAGGCTTCTCCCTCTCTCTCTGCCCCTTCCTCCACTTGTGTTCTCTCTCTCTGTGAAATAAATAAAATTTAAAAAAAAATCAGTTCCTCATCTGTAAAATATGGATGATAGTAATTCTCATACAGATTTATACTCTTCCTATTCTCTGTTGTGTATAACCTGCAACCCTTTTTGTAAAAATTAGGTTGGTTATTAATATCATTTTGGCGTTCTGCTCTAAATTTCAGATGACTTAGGATAGTTACTTCCTGACCATGCACATAGCTTAATGAATCCTGTGAGTGACTACATGATGATCATGATAAAAGGCATTCTTGGGATTTTTTTATACTCTTCTATTTTGTTAGTACAGATTGGATGCTACTTAGGGTTATTGGAAATGTTGGGCAGGGAGGAGGACCTAGCAGGATTTTAGTTCTATGTGACTATTTTACATTCTTTAAAAAAAAAAAAATGTGCTATTTAGTCCCTGAACAACAGCTGCTGGATATCGAAGATTGCGACCTCAACGTGGTGAGATTATGTTTTCAAGTTTTCCTCCCTGATGAACATGGTAATTTGACAACGGCTCTACCTCCTGTTGTCTCTAACCCGATTTATGACAACCGTAAGTACTTTATTGTATTGTATTTGTATTATATTGTATTTATATGTTTTTTAGTTTAATTTTTTAAAGTATTTTGGCAATTAGAGAAAGTTTGTTCATTATAAGAACAATTCAAGCATTACTGAAATAACAAGAAGACTAGATCTTCTCTGATCTCCTCTAAAGATAATCTGTATCCTCAGGTACATATTTCACCAGTTTCTCCATATATTTTAAAACACATTATCACTATCATTCATACAATATACTTTTAGCAACTTAAATCATCACAGATCCTTTGTAAAAAAAATTTTTCTCTTAGCAATGTATCTTGAGCCTTTTCCCTTTGAGGTACCTTGTTCCCTTCAGTAGCTGCATATTTCCTTATATGGCTGTATCATCATCTTATTAAACCGAACAAGGTATTTGGTTTGTTTCCTCCTTGATTTTTTCTCTAATAAATTGTATTTCAGTAAATATCCTGTATATGCATATTTTGTGCATATGTGTCTCTAGCATAATTTTACAGTAGTATGAATGTTGGCAAATCCTGGATCAAAGGATAGGGATATTTATAGTTTTAAAAGATTATGAAATTGCCCTGAAAGTTTTTGTGCACACGTGTACATATTTGCTCTTATATATGCATCCATTCCTGATATATGACGGCCTATTTTGCATCTAGAAGCACATGGGCCTATAATGGTAGATCAGGGTATCCTCCTCACGGAGAATTTTGAATTGCCAGGGAGAGTTACTGAAATTATATTCCTAATAAAAGGGAGCATGAAATCACCTTGTTAAGGGTTATAGTCATGATTTAAGAGATTAATCTGGTGACAGTGTGTGAATGGATTGAAAGGATCAGAATTTAGGAACAAGGAGATTTAACTAGTGGACCTATTATTGCTGAGAAATGAAGTCACAAGGCTATAGACCAGGATGGGCTTGTCAGAAAGGAAAAGGACAGGTGTGGATGATTAATGTACTTAGTGTCCTTAATTTCTTTATACACTAAAGCTTTTATCTGTCCTATAAATTGTTTCCCTAGAATTCTCACCATCAAAAAAGAATAAAAATGGGACCCCTGGGTGGCTCAGCAGTTTAGCGCCTGCCTTCGGCCAAGGGCGTGATCCTGGAGTCCCAGGATCAAGTCCCACATCGGGCTCCCTGCATAGAGCCTGTTTCTCCCTCTGCCTATGTCTCTGCCTCTCTCTCTCTCTCTCTCTCTCTGTGTGTGTGTGTGTCTCTCATGAATAAATAGAATCTTTTTTTTAAAAAAAAAGAATAAAAAATATTACTAAGACAGAAACCCATTAAAAAATCCTTTTTATTTAGGTGCTCCTAATACTGCAGAATTAAGGATTTGTCGTGTAAACAAGAACTGTGGAAGTGTCAGAGGTGGTGATGAAATATTTCTACTATGTGATAAAGTTCAGAAAGGTATTTATTTATTTGTTTCATTGAATTTAGAATATGCAGATCTTCTTTGGCTTACAGTGGGGTTATACCATGATAAATTCACTGTAAGTTGAAAATAATCTTAAATTGAAAATGCAGTTAATACACGTAACCTACCAAACGTCGTAGTTCAGCTTAGTGTACCTCAAACATGCCCAGAAAACACATTAAGTCTATAGTTGGGCAAAATGACCTAACACAAAGCCTACTTATAATAAAGTATTGACTATCTCATGTAATTTATTGAAAACTGTACTGAAAGTGAAAATCAGAACAGTTGTGAGTATATCAGTGGTTTATCCTCCTGATCATGTAGCTGACGTGGCTTGCTGCCACTGCCCAGCATCTTCCGAGTGTCATGCTGCCTATCACTAACCCAGGAAAAGATCAAAATCTGAAGTACGGTTTCTACTGACTGCATATCACTTTCACACCATCATAAAGTCAAAAAATTGTCAAGTTGAACCATCATCAGCTGGGGCCATCTGTATTTTAGATTAATAGATGGATTTTGTTTTCCATTGCTGTTCCTTTGCTTTTATATTCATTAGATGACATAGAAGTTCGGTTCGTGTTGAATGATTGGGAAGCAAAAGGTATATTTTCGCAAGCTGATGTACACCGTCAAGTAGCCATTGTTTTTAAGACTCCACCATATTGCAGAGCTATAACAGAACCAGTGACAGTAAAAATGCAGTTGCGGAGACCTTCTGACCAGGAAGTTAGTGAATCAATGGATTTTAGATACCTGCCAGATGAAAAAGGTATAAGTTCTTGGTGGTAATGTTTTATGTATTTCTTAAAGTTCTCCTCATGCCATTTTCTTGTAAGATACGTTTGCATACTGTTAGGTTTATTTATAGTTTACGTTTTATTTCCGGAAAATTTTTCGGTGATTTTTTTTTTAACCTATTGATATTTATGCTCTTTGTATCCCTGTCTTTGGAAAGGAATCTAGAATAATTTCAGAGTATCTGAACTGTTTACCAAAACTTATTTTATATTTGAGGTTCTATTTTTGTCCTATTGTGCCCTTTTTATAGATGGAAAGCTTGCCATTCAGAATGGTCTCCATTTTGGTTTCGTCCTTACCTGCCCTTATTGCGTTAGTTGACATTGTTGACTTATAGGTGTCCTGAGAAAACAAGATGAGTATTAGACCCTTTACTACCTACTTGGGACACATTCTGCAACACTTAATAAATCCATAGCATATACATTTGTTTAAAGCACTTTATGGGAATAAAACACCTGTTTTTTAAAGGAGAAGCCACATAAACCTATGATGATCTACATGTTTTCCTGGTTTCTTTTTAACCAGATACTTACGGCAATAAAGCAAAGAAACAAAAAACAACTCTACTTTTCCAGAAACTGTGGCAAGATTGTGGTAAGAATATTTGATTTGTATTTAAATAGATTTTGGGTTTTTTGCTTTATTCAATTTTCCAAATTTTAGCTGATGTTTTTTTAAATTGCATTTAATAATGGAAAAACTTTATCACAGCAGTTAATTTTCCTGAAAGACCTAGACCTGGTACCCTAGTATCAACTGGAGAAGGAAGATTCATCAAAAAAGGTATTTTATCCCCCATAGAGAGTATTCCTTAACGGTCAAAAGACCAGTGCTTTGCACAGTATATTGGATTCTATTCTTAGGAAAGGAAAACTGCTTCTTTGCTATTTTCTAGGCTCACAAATTTTTTGTGCTTTGAATATTAAATGAATTGATCTCAGCTTCTTAAGGTCCTATTGGAAACTATGATTATGTTTTGGGGATTTATTGTTTGAGAAGTTACATTTGTTCATATGGTGGTAATTTTACCTAATTACCATGTGTCATGGAATAACATGGTTTGGATCTAGCCAGTCGCCCATCTTTAAAAATAAAGTTTTGCTGGAACACAACAACCATGCTCATTTGATTACATATTTTGTCTGTGGTTGCTTTTTTCACATTATAATGGCAGAATTGTGTAGTTCCAGTAGAGGCTGTATGGCCCATGGAGCATAAAATATTTGGCCCTGTACAGGGAAAAAAAAAAGTTGCAGACCTCTGGTTTAGATCATTGAACCAGGGTTATTTAACTGGAAGTCTTTTCTTCCCCTTCCATTCTTAAATCTGTGCTTTTTTCCTGGTTTAGTATGTATAGCAGTCCTATACTATACATACAGAATCCTTAATTTTTTTTCTGTCTGGGAATTTTGTAGTACCTTAGAATTATATCTTTTTTTTTTCTTTTTAGAGAGGTGGGAGAGGGAAAGAGGGAAAGGCAGAGGGAGAGAGAAAGATCTTAAACAGGCTCCGTGCCCAGTGGAGAACTCGACAGTAGGCTCCATCTCAACTCTGAGATCATGACCTGAGCTGAAAACAAGAGTCAGATGCTTATCTTAACAAGTTATGTGTATTTTTCAATCATCCCTAATGAACCTTTCCTCCGTCTGTCTCTCCATTTTCTCCTAAGAGTAGTGAATATGAAATGATTTTGGCTATTTAGATTTCCATTAACTGAAATTCTGATTTTTTTTTTTTTTTAAGTAATCTCTGTGCCCAATGCGGGCTCAAACTCACAACCTTGAGATCAAGAGTTGCGTGCTCCACCAACTGAGCCAGCCAGGCACCCCTGAAATTCTGATTTATTTTTCACTTTCCAAAAATACCTTTATAAGGCCTCAGAAGCTAAATTTTCATGCTTAACTGGAATGAAGCTATCTATTTCAAAATAACTTACCAAAATTATTTTATAGGTATTTATAAAACAGTGTTACAGAATTCAGCTTCGGACTCATGTAATAATTTTAGTGCTATTTAATATTTTTCTCTAAAATGTTACATCAGTTTGCTTGAAAATTTTCTTAGTGTGGTTATGCAATTTTAATTTAGAGATAGTGTTTTTTATACTTTCGTTTCACTTTGTAAAAATACATTTTCCTCCCCACAGAATCAAACTTTTCTCATGGTGCAGTTTTGACAGAAATGCCCAGGACTTCAGGCATTTCAAGTCAAGCAGATTCCTACTATTCCTCGTCTGTGTCCATGTCAAATGCACTGTCACATCATTCTTCACCCATACCTTCAATGGTGTCTCAGGCTTCTTCAAGCTGGTCATCAGGGGCCCACCCCACCTCGCGCGCAGTCAATACGAATCCACTGAGTGGTTTTTCAACAGGGACACTCTCCTCTAATCCACAAGGTATCTCACCATATCTGGAAATACCTCTTGAGAGTGATTTGAATGCCTCTAATGCTTGTATTTATAACAATGCGAATGACATAGGCAGAATGGAAGCGCCATCCATGTCATCAGCTGATTTATATGGTATTTCTGATGGCAACATGCTGCCGAATTGCCCTATGACTATGATAACACCTAGTAATGACAGCATGAGGGAGACTGATAATCCGAGACTTGTGAGCATGAATCTCGAAAACCCCTCATGTAATTCAGTGTTAGACCCAAGAGACTTGAGACAGCTCCATCAGATGTCCTCTCCCAGTATGCCAGCAGGTGCCAGTTCCAGTACTACCACTTTTGTTCCTCAGCCAGAGGCATTTGAGGGATCTGACTTCAACTGTACAGATAACAGTATGATAAATGAGTCAGGACCATCAAACGGTACTAATCCCAACAGTCACAGTTTTGTTCATAGTCAGTATTCTGGTATTGGCACTATGCAGAATGAGCAATTGAGCGACTCATTTGCATTTGAATTTTTTCAAGGTAACTTGTAAAACTTAAATGGTAGTTTGGGTGTATTGAATACCAAGCTGGAAAGTATCATGAAAGGAAAATCCTGAAATAGAAATTTAAAAGGACTTTACTGTTTCTTCTTTTTGAAACATGTGACCCGATACTGTGTGTGGTGGGACTTCTGCTTTACAGTCCTACCCCATCTTCTCAGTACAGAATGAAGAGAATATCAAGACACCTCAGTTCTTCCAAATACACATTTTTTATACTTCTTTTGTATTGTATTAATGTATTCTTAGTTAAATGAATTAACTGATATTTGCTTTTAAGCAAATTTAAGGTAAAACCTATAATGGCTATGCCATTAGAAAAATGATTTTCTTATTATTTTTGAGACCCATAGGCCAAGGTGACCCCTAAGGGGTTTTCTGAGGTTTCTTGGAGTTTCTTAAATTTGCATGTAAGTCAACAATCTTTAAAATTAAAAATCTAACTCGGGTTGAGGCCTGGGTGCCTAGTGGGTTAAGTGACTGCCTTGGGCTCAGGTCATGATCCTGGGACCCTGGGATGGAGTTCCAAGTAGGGCTATCTGCTCTGCAGAGAGCCTGCTTCTCCCTCCCTCTCTCCCAAATGTGCACTGTTTCTCAAATAAGTAAAATCTTTTAAACAAAAAATCTAACTTTGAACAGAAGAGAGTTGAAGTGAGCTCAACTCACTCAACTCAAGGTAGGGAAAGTTCTCTACATTTGAGAACAATTAAATCCTTACCTTTAAAATTGCTTGTGATTTTTAGCTTTACACGCATGTCTTTAAGGTGAAGAGGTTTCCTTAGACCTCTCATCTTTCTTGTGTTCCCTCACTCACTGTGATCACATCTAATTTCATGCTCTCTGTTCCTAAATTTTATCCTTACCTTAGACCTATCCTCTGACCTCCAGGCTTGGAGCTTACCCATGTATGTAAAATTGCTTATTTGACATCTCTACTTAGGAACCTAATTAGTGAGCTCTGACTCAACACATCCAAAACTGAGTTCATCATCTTCCCTCCCAATTTGCTTCCCCTTCAGGTTGCCCCAACTTAGTAAATAGCAGTGCTATGCTTATATAGTTGCTCAGGTTCAAAACCATGGAGTCATCCTTGATCTTTTCTTTTCTCTCCCAAATCCAATCTATCAGCAAATCTGGTAGGCCATGCCTTCAAAATATATCCAAAGCTCCCCACCTCTTTTGACCTCTACTACTAACTTCCTGTTCTAAGCCAGTGTCCTATCACCTCTTGCCTGGATTGAAGCTCTAGCCTCCAGAGATGCTGTCACTTCTTGTGCCCTACCGTCTCTTCTCCCCAAAGTAGCCAGAATGATTATTTGTAAAACAAGTCAAATTGTATCATTAGCCTGCTCAACAAAATCCTGAAAATTGGCAGGCTCTTACTCCTCCTATTTCATCTCTTACCATTTTCTTCTCCTCATTCAGCTCCAGGCACTCTGCCCTCATAGTCTCTCTTCAGAAACACCAAGTACACTCATGCCTCACACTGTCTTTGTACTTGTCCTCTCTGCCTTGATTATTCTTCTCTCAGATAGATACGTGCAGAGCTCACTTCCTAGGATCTTTCAGATTCACTCAACTTTTACCGATCAAGGCCTTCCTTGAGCCTATACACAGCACTCCATGTCCCCTTCTATATATTGGTCCATAGCACTTACCAGGATCTGACTTTTACTTAGCATTTATTTGTTTTGGGTTTTTTTCCCCCTATACTGTAATATAAGCTCCACAGGGATAAAAAAGTTTTTGTGTTTTGTTTGTTGAATCTCCAGTTTGTAGAATGGGGTCTGCCTCATATTAAGCACTCAGTAAATATTTATTGAATGTTCAAAGTACTACTAATAGAACTTTGTTTTTAGAAAGAAGAAAGAAAGAAAGAAAGAAAGAAAGAAAGAAAGAAAGAAAGAAAGAAAGAACAGCTTTAATTATTAGATGTCCATTATTTTTATAATTCTGTTTAACGTGACATTGGGTGTATGTCAGAATCATGCATCTTCAGGTCAGGGGTTAATAATGGTAATCCAAACTGTTAGAAAGACAAGTAATCCCAGGGGCAAAATGATGGCAGTAATCTTAGTTGTGATGGAATTGTCATGATGTTAAGTAACAAACTTATTAAAGACTTAGTCTCTTTTACAACTAGAACCTACCATGAATGTTGAGCATGTTCTGAGCTAGAAACAACATGTCATCTCACTTACACAGTGTCCAACCAAACAAACTAGTAAGTTTACTGGAACAATTAAAATGGGAGATATATTATATGACTGTCATGTAAATAAAAGTTCTGAGTTGAATGAAGGAGGAAGGGAAGGAAATGGGAAGGAGAATAAGATAAGACTTGGGGATAGGATAGTTTAGGAAGCAGGAGAAAAAGATTAAAGACACCTAAGTACCATTAATATTTCTTAGAAATTATGACTTCAAAATGAAACCTTTACTATATAATTTTAAAAGCCATAAGCATAAGAAGAACTTACCAGGGAGGAAGTAAAACTTAGGAAGTCTCATTTCTTTTCTGTTCAAAATATGAACCCAGGATAGCTCCAGATAGCAGTTGATAGGTGGTGAGCTTTTTTAAAAAATACAGAATTCTAGTTTTGTATTCATTATCACTGACCAGCTTAACACAGACTATTAAACACTTGTCTTGCAAGGTTGTAGATTTGTGCAAACCCCCCCCCCCCATGTAAGCTGAGTGAAGGTACTACTACATCTGTGTTGAGAGTATTTCCAATGGATTTTTCTTTTTTTCAGGTGCTATTTACTGATCATAGAATTTATTTTATAATATAAAAATAACCTGGCAATGTTTCTCTTCTATCTCTAAATGTATTTATGTTTTCACACTTAGTTTCCAAGTAAAAAGTGCCCTTCTGCCCTTCTAAACTCTACTTGCATCCTGGACCCTGTTCTCTTTCTGTCTTGTTTCTATATCTTCACATCACTATTTAGTGGTGGTTTTCTTTGCGTAACTGTGGTATCTTCTCTAGCCTTAAAGGAAACAAAAATCTTAACTACTACCTTCATCCACCTTCCTTCACATCTAGACTTGGGAAATGCTTTCAGCTTCGATTTCCTCAGGTCCCAGTCATTCTTTGGCTTATTAATCTTTGACCTCCTACTGTTTTTTCTTTTTCTTTTTTCTTTCTTTTTTTTTTGAGAGTGAGAGAGGGAGCATGCGTGTACTCAGGAGGAGAAGGGCAGAGAGAGGGGGAGAGAATGTTAAGCAGGCTGCATGCCCAGCGCAGAGCCCAACCCAGGGTTCATCTCACGAATCCAAAATAATGACCTGAGCCGAAATCAAGAGTCAGACAGTTAACTGGCCGAGCCACCCAGGCACGCCCTCGTACTGCTTTCTTATGATATTCTGAGAAAAGTGACCAGAGACGCTCTCCTTGTCAAATCTGGTGTCCTTTTATCAGTCCTCATTCTGCGTGACCCATCCATAACCTTCTTTCCTATTGGCTACTCCCTTCTTGGATACTCCTCCGAGGTTTCTGTGGTAGGTAAGATTCCTCTCTGAGGTTGACTTTTTTCCAGAATCTCAACCCCAGCCCTCATTTGGTGCTATTTTTCCCCTGGGTGACCTCATCAGTGCCCACAGTTTCAGCTTTCTCTCACGCTACCCAAATGCCTTTATAAACTGCCTCGCCCACCCCTTTTGCATTTTCTACTTTCAGTAATGGCATTACCATTTACCCTGCCACCCAAGATATTTAATAGGAACCTCAAAATCCTGTTTTATTCCTTTTCTCCCTCATAGTCATACTTAGTTATCAAGTCTTTTAAATTCTGCCTCATAAAATGTCTTGCGTTTGTCCCTCCTTTATTCCTAATGCTTCCTTACTATATAGGCCTTCATTCCTTTTCCAAACAGAATCTTCTCTTCTGGTTAAAAATACCACATTCTCCTCGAACCACATTATGTATTTAACAAGCTTGGTAATCTTGGCATCGCTGCTTTTCCTGCCAGTTTAAGTACCTTTCCTTTTAAAAAAAATCATATCTTTGTCCACATTTTTATAATCACTCCTATGTCCGTGAGTAGCTACCATTTAGCACCAGTGATGCCATGGACTGTGCTAAGTGATGAAGTCCAAAAGATGAATAAGACAAACCTTAAATGACTATAATTCAATAAGAGGAGTTCTGCATTGAGGACGCGTTCAAAGTGTACCTCAGCTAGGGAAGCAGAACTGCACTTCACAGAGGAGAAGCCCAGTCTTAAAGAAGACGTGTTATAGTTGCGGAGGAACAGAGGCAGAGTGGATACCATGGTGAAGTCATGAAGGCCTGGTAACCTGAGAGATTTTTCAAAGAATGCCAGCTATGTAATGTGTTTGTTGTTTTTTTTCAGTTGAGACCATATATTTAATAGCGGTGAACATCTGTCAGGCCCATAGCATGTGCCAGGCTTTGGGTCAAGGCTTTATAAAAGCATCGTTTCTTCTAAACCTCACACAGCCCTTTTGAATAGGTACAGTTTATCCTCTCCTCATGGATGAGGAACCAAAGGCAAACAGAGGAACTCGCTGAGGTCCTCCAGCCATGCAAGAGTCCAGTGTAACCTCAGTCAGCATCCTGGACCCCCTACTTGTAGTGACTGTGCTGTCCTGCCCTCTCTTCTGCTTCACATCCCCTTTGGCCTTTGCTCTGAAGTGTTTTAATCCATTCATATTGCATAGAATACATCAGTGTGCATTTTACTTTTTTGTTGGGTGTTCAAGTTTCTCCCATTTGTTTCACTGTTAAAATGCTGCTTTCATGAACATCTCTGTATTTAGAGCATTTCCTGCATTCTGGAATGTTCCTTTAAAGGAGAGTTCTACTAAATTTTCCTCCGTTTTCAAACCAGTCTTAACTCTTCTATCATTTCAAGCCACAAAGTTGTAAGTAGCTAAATGTGGATATTTAGCTGCCTCCTGTAATATTAACTGTATTAGGTAGAAATTTTACAGTTATTAGGATTGTTTCACATCTCTGACCTTGCTCCTTTTCTCTGCTGTATGTGGCAGGTTTAATCTTCTCCCAGTGTGCATTTCCTCATCACCTGATCCTTGCACAGACACTCCCGTATTAATGTAATCAGACACACAGCACATTTTTGAATGTCCGATGTGCAAAGGACCATATTAGGCACTGAGAATGACACAGAGGTGAATGAAACAAAACCCTTGCTCTCACTGATGTTGGTATTTTTCTTTTAAGGGATAATATATACAGTAAAGTACAGAAAGTGAACCAGTTTTAAGTGTACAGCTTGATGAATTTTTACATATGCAAACAGTCATTTCCAGTACCCCAGAAGTTTCCTTCATGCCCTTACCAATCTACCTACACGTCAAAAACCACTATTCTGATGTCTGTCATTAGAACCTACTATCATAATGATCTTTTAAATAGGTAACTGGATTTCTCTAACAGCTAGATTGTCAGTTTTTAACCTAATGTTTCAGAAAAAAAAATTAGACTGTCCATGTTAAGAGAGACTTGGAATTGTGATCCGGCTGCCCAGTAGCACCAAATAATTTGTTAAATCATACATTAATATGTAGGAGGATTAAAGAAATTGTCATGTGATGTTAAATAGCATGGAGAAATGGAAAGAAGATTTTTTTTTTTTTTTTGTCAAAACATCTGGGTTTGCTCTGCCACATACTCATTACATAGTATCTAAGAAATCATGCCTTCTGTGGGCCTCTCTTCTGATACATAATGCAGATAATACCCTGCTTACCTACCTCACAAGATATGTTGTATTAAATAAGGCATAAGAAACTGTAAATAGTATAGTGCTAGTCAAATATTAATAAACATCTATGTGTATTCTGTGGCCCTGATTAATCTCTTAACCCAAACACTCCTAATACATGGCAGAGAGAAATCACTGTGGATTAGATTCTTTAGTAAGAACCCTGGGATAGGTTTCTCTTCAGAGTAGCTATCTGTTTTGCCCAGATCTGGAGGCCTATCTTTTGGCCTTTACTCCTTTCAGAACCAGTTTCCATTATATAGCAAAAATAAGGTCATTTAATGACTTCTAGCTCTGAAGTTCCTAGGCCCCTTAATTTCTTTGCCAAAGTTGATTATGAATTGGGAGTTATAGGACTGTCTTCCTAAAAGGGAACCTCATCATAGCTAATGAAGTTGCCACTGAAAGATTTCTGATCTGTTTTGTTTTCAGGGATTGACTATGAAAGGGGCAAAATTAGGATGCTTTTTGTATCACATAAAATAAAAAAACATCATGCTATTTAACATTATAAGCCCAGGATTGGGCAACTAATCAGAGATATATGTATATGGTTTGTTTATATCCAATTTTATGCCTTTGGCTAAGACTCAAATTAATATTTTAACCAATATATCTTAAAGTTTAAAGCACAAACTTAAAATTGATAGATAAGACTGAATCTCACAAATAATTGTCATTTTTTCCATGCATACAAAAGTATAGATCAGAAAATCCTCATCATGTCCCTACTACCATCACTATTAAACAAAATACAGATAAAACTTTTAAACAATTATTTTTTTCTTTTTTTTAAACAATTATTTCTTCTAAATATTTTCCAAATGTCTATGGCTTTAGGAAAAAATACCACCTGCTAATAATTATCTATTTAAAGAGGGTAAAATTTATCATTTGTCACTTATCACTTGTTCCCACAACTTCAGTTTACTATTGGACTTTCAAAAATTTAAATAATTTTAAAATTTTAAACAAACACCTATGTGTGAATAGTAATATACAATAATTAGTAAATAATGTTGGTGCTTCAATAAATTGAGTTTTCAGTGATATCAGCCTAGTAAATATAAGTTTTTGATAAAAGTAAACATCTTGCCTATTTTTCTTCTTTGTTATCTAATCAAAACAGTATAGCTTTGTCTAAAATATAGTAAGAAATAGGTAAGATGGAGATTTTGTGGCTCTATGTACGAAAGCCTCTCAAGAGACTTCGTTGGGGTCATGGTTCAGGCCAGATGAACTCTTTAGAGATGACTTATGTTCTTAAAGAATGTACTGAAAAATAACTGTTACCTGAATTCAGAACCTTACAGAATGGCACTATCCTATTTTTTACTGTGCTATGTATTTTTATATGCTTCCTAATGACTATAATAAATTTAGAGGCATTGAAAAAAGTTTTTTTTAAAGTTCTCAGTTATTTAATGCCAAATGAGTTTAAAAGATGCAATCATTTGTAAAGTGTTAAAATCCTGTTTGTTGTACATAATATTTTATTACCTTTGTAATATCTTTGTATACAGTGATTTTTTGTGATAATATAATAAATGGAAAAAAACCTAAAATTCTTAAAATTTTGTTGTGATTTGACTTTTAAAGTATCAGTGAGATTTTGTTATTTATAGCATCCCCCTTGGGAAAGACAGTTTGGTTTCTTAGAAACATTAGGTATTTTTATGGAAAGCTATAGCTGAATGAATATACCTGCATATGTAACTGTCTTTTGAAGTGATAACTTTTGTAGAGTACTAAAATGCATTTTTAAAAGATTTTCATTTCCTGCCTTCCGGACTTATTTCCTGCCTCTCTCTCCCTTCCTGTATAATTCAGGACAAAAGTCATTCACTTATTCTGAGCAAGGTACAGGTAGGTACTGCCACAGGGGCATAAGGGGGTGGCCCAGGGTGGGACTACAGGGTGAAGCCTGAGGAGGACATTTGAGGGTAGTAGGGAGGGGACTCTCAGGATCTGAACTAAGGATGCAGCAGTAGGAGACGGGTTATTTATGAGGGGGACTGATCGATCAGGTAAATATATTAAGGCTAATGGGAGCCAGACGTCTGTCAGAGTAGAGTATTACAAGTAAGAAAAGGGAGAAAACTAGAATAAGGTTGGGATTGGAAGTACTGGTATGCAACTCCCGATCTTCAATATATGTAGAATTGTAGAATAAGAAACATATTGTGTGTGTGTGTGTGTGTGCCTGCATGTATGCATTTGCATTTGTTAGTAACAAATTATAACCTATTGAATAAAATAGGAAGCCAGGAATCCACAAAAAGGGCAAGTTCTACCTTTCAGTGGAATGCTAACCAATGCATGTAAAAGGAATGGTGGAATTGGAAAATCAGTTTTTGACAAGTCTTCAGTAAATGCTAAAACCACTGGATGAAAGGCTGATGATCTCCTTATAAGATACTTATCAATTAAGGGGAAAAAGAGTAACTATAAATGTAGAGGAGCTTGGCAGACACTGCCTTCATTAATTGATAAGATCTAGTAATCATTAAAAAAAAAAAAGTCCAGAATATAAGAAACATTGCAGAGGATCATAGGGGGGCAGGGAGGGAAAGCTGAATGGGAAGGCATCAGAGAGGGAGAGAAACCATGAGAGACTCTTAACACTAGCAAACAAACTGAGAATTCTTGGAGGGGAAGGTGGGTAGGGAGGTGGGGAGGTGAGGTAATTGAGTGATGGGCATTAAGAAGGGCACATGATGTGATGAGCACTGGGTGTTATATGCAATTGACGAATTACTGAACACTACATCTGAGACAAATGACGTATTATATATTGGCTAATTGAATTTCAATTAAAATCCAGTCATCAGGGATCCCTGGGTGGCGCAGCGGTTTGGCGCCTGCCTTTGGCCCAGGGCGCGATCCTGGAGACCCGGGATCGAATCCCACATCGGGCTTCCGGTGCATGGAGCCTGCTTCTCCCTCTGCCTGTGTCTCTGCCTCTCTCTCTCTCTGACTATCATAAATAAATAAAAATTTTAAAAAAATTAAAATCCAGTCATCAGAAACTGCGCAAATTGAAATTGTATAGCACCTGATAAGATGCAAAAAAGGTAATACCTATACCTGTTATGTGGTATCCTCGTGCTAGAAAGGTACAACCTGAACCTAATAATAAGGAAACATCAGGCAAACCCAAACTGAAGAGCAATCTACAAAATAACTGACCTGAAATCTTCAAAAATGTTAAAGTAATCAAAGTCAAGGAAAGACAAACTTTGAGATTGATGGAGACTAAAGAGATGTAACAGTTATGTGCAAATTGTGATCCCTTGCCTATGAAAGTCACTGTTAGGACAACTGGTGAGACTTGAGTGGGGTCTGGATACACAGTTGTAAGATCTGTGTTAACTTCCTGGGTGGATAGTTCTATTGTGACAAGTTAGAAAAGTATTCTTCTTTGTAGAAATTATACACTCAAGTGTTCGAGGTAATGGAGCATCACTGGCTCAGTGGTTCGGAGGAGAAAAGATTCTTTGTACTTTTCTTCTAACTTTCCTGTAAGTTTAAAATTATTTCAAAATGAAAAAAATTAAATGAATAGCATAAGGGCAGTATTTTTTCCATAATAAAGTACCTTTTTTAAAAAAAAAAAAAGAGAAAGAAAAAAGTGAGTTTTTTTTTTTAAAAGACTCACTACCCTGAGGTCAAGACCTGAGCTGAAATAAGTCAGACAGTGAACTGACTGAGCCACTCAGGCACCAAAAGGGTACTACCATTTTTAAAAATCAAAAAAGGTTGCATCAAAATTCACATTTATTTGGGCTTAAAAATCAAGAATAAAGCTTCAAAAAAAGAGATCAGCCTAAGATATTTCTCTCTTTGGAAATGGAAATTTAACTTCTGAGTTTATTTCATATAACTTCTTAATATAACCAGTTCTCTTACTTAGGAAATTCTCCCCCCCACACTTTTTTTGGTTTGTTTTTGTTTTTTACTTTTCCAGGTATTCAGAGTTGAGTTGATGTTTTTCCTAAGCTAAATCACAGAATATATTTGGGACAAAGAAATACTAAGAAGTTAAAAAGGGCCCTTTCTCTAAGTGCTATTTACAACTAAATAAGAATTTTGATAAAATAAAATAAAGCTATGAATGGGGCACTTGTTATGATGAGCACTGGGTGTTCTATATGTAAGTGACGAATCACTAAATTCTAGTCCTGCAACCACTATTACACTCTATGTTAACTAACTAGAATTTAAATAAAAATTTGAAAAGAAAAATTTAAAAATAAAGCTAATGAGAAGAGATCACAAAACTAATTTTAAAATAATTTATATGTATATAATTTTATATAGGCAAAAGTGAAACTATAGTACCTTTATTAATGTTCCCAGTTCTGCATAAAACAAAGACCTACATTGATTTTTAACAACCTGTGTCTCATAATATATGAACATATGGAATAAGTAAAGTATATACAGCTAATGTTTACTGTTTGCTTGAAATTTTGCATAATGTCAGGAATAGAAATTTAAGAAATAGAAATCTTCTGTTAAGGAGGTTCTTAATTTTTCCATTTTGCAGATTCCACTAAATTCAAAGCTAAGCCAAAAACAAACATGCAAAAGACTATCTCCCAAATTATTTAAATCCTTTTTGTAGCAAAACTTCCCCAGAAACGAAGAAATATTCACACAGAAGTTCTTACCTTTTTATCAGAAGTTTATTTCTATTATCCCTTTCTCATTTTCTGGCATTGAAAATAGTGAAACTATTATTTGCTAGTATTCATATATGAAACTTCTTCATGTCAATTAAATAATTTTCCTGATTTCTAAAATGAATAATACATCTTGGTATCTATGAAGCATGTTTAATGAAGAGATGGGACAACAATCATCCAATACTGTTCAAGTCACATGTGTTCTAAAATAAGTTCAGATAGTTGAATCAGGGTGATAGAAATTACACTTAAATCTGAAATTTTAAATTGTTGAAACGTTTCTTTTAATGACCCATCCATTTTCTTTAGGTTTGGCTTATTTCATGTTTTTCCTCTTCATAGTACCAACTGATGATGAACTTATTAACAAATGGTAATCATATAAGGTCATATGAAGTATACTTGGGCTATTTTTTGGCAAGCTCCTTGATTTGGTATATAAATTCCAAAAGTCATTTCTCATGGTTAGTGCATTTAAGTGACATTCTCTGGTGCCTCCTTCACACAGTGGGTGCTCACTCACAAAGTTTATTAAGAAAGGGCCCTAGAGACCAGGAAACTTCAGTTTTAACCCCTGATATGGAAGTAACTAACAATTTTAGATAAATCATTTAACTTTCATTCTTTGGTTTTCATATTTATAAAATGGAAATGATAATATCCTATCCACTTGATGAAGATGTTTGAAATTGGATAATATATTGAAGCACTCGAATAACAGCAGATTGTTTAGCAATCTTAATTTTTCAAAATCTTATCCCTGGGTTTGAAGTTACTGAAGGCACTTGTGTCTCCTTATTTAAAAGATGTATGCCTCAATTCCTACGGTTTCACTTTCCCTCCCCAGGAAATGTATTGAAATCTTTAAGTTGTCAAAACAGTAACTTGAAGTCATTAAGATTTGTGACAGATTATATCAAAAAGTACTTCTGTTGGTAATAGCTTGCTTAAAGCTTACTGGGAAAAATATTAATGATGTTAGATTTGCATTGATACCTTAGAATATTATAGGATACTGTGCTGTATAAATCTAGATAGAACTTCTATCAAGATCATTTTAAAAATTTAGAACATGATTTTGAAGGTGGTATGTCTTATGGAGGAAAATTCTGCCAAAAGAAATTATAGCTTCTCAGATTATTAGAGAATGTATCCTGTTTGTGTACTTCTCTAGATGAAAGAATTAAGAGAATGTTTTCATTATTCATAGTTTGGCATGTGGAGGGTTGGAGAGGGAACAAGAAAAATCATAAGACATCCTTAGAACATTTAACACAAAATATACACATACATAGATCCTGAGATGTTACAACAAATTTTAAAATACGTAGATCAACATGATCCAAATGGTTTCCAAGACACTGTAATGCTGAGTAAAGAGCTATTATACAGTGTATGCTGAATGGAGGTCCACATCATGCCACGAAAACCCTACTCTGTTTCCAATTTTGAATGCTAGTCATCCAGAGCTGGGGGCCAGTCAACATCTACAGACTAAAAGGAAGAAAACAAGACATGAAAACATATTACTGTTCTAGGAAGCATTTGCTGTAATACTGCATACACTTAATAGTTTTAATATAAGGCAACAGAAGAAAGTGCATTTGAAAAAAAGTCATCGAATACCACAATTCAACACTCTAAAATACATACTAGGCCTTGAGATTCTTGGGCCCAAGGTTTGTTTCTGAATTCACGGAGTATTTGGTCACTCAGCTGGTTATCAATTGTACCTTTTGACCAATAAGACTAGAGTACATCTAAATTTTGTAAATATTACTTATGAGTAAAGTAACAAGCAAATTTGGGAAGCAACACCAACTTTCCCTCAACTCTTAGCAACTTTTATTCTTCAGATCATTTTCATTTTCCCATCTTGCATTGAACTAACACTCAAGTAGTCTATACACTTATGTATGGTGTTATTTGTAACTTAGCAACCAAATGAAAAGTAAATGAGTATGAAAGATCACCTGGAACTACAAAAGGATAAATGATCATTGTGTATCATTTCAGAATTTTTGTTCCGTTTAAAATCAAGTTTATCTATCTCTACTCATCTGGTTTGGCTCTTCTAGAGAAAAACCTTGATTTAAGTCATAATGAGATTACAGTAGTAGGCTACCTTTTTTTCTCCACATAAACAATCACGTCCTAGGTTTTAGAAGTAGTTTACCCTAGAGAGCCTAATTTGAGAAGTTCCAAAAAGTCCACTGCACCCATGTCTTGTTCTGGGTTTTTTTGAGACTTAAATTTTAAAACCCAAAATGATTTACCAAAAGTGATTTTTAAAATTAATCTATGAGTCACTACCAGAATCAGGAAAGTTTTATTAGGAAAGCCCAAATAACTATTTGTGTGTGTGTGTGTGTGTGTGTGTGTGTGTGTCTGTGTATCGTTTAGAAACCCAAGAAGATAAGAAGATATTTTGGTTCTGTTTCAGAACATAGCCACATACTGAACACCTATATATAAGCTAATGGGTTGCTTCTCATGCCTAAAATCTAAATATTTCAGATCACAGTCTTGTATGTGTTGAGAGCAGGGGAAGTTTAAAACATTCTACAGGTGATTCCAATGGACAAGCAGGAATAAGGAACATTGGCCTGTGACTCTGACATTCCCAAGTTGTGCTAAGAATTAAGATCAAGGAAGATGAATGCAGTTGAGATTTTCTTTAACACTAGGTTGTTTTTCTCAAAATAACAGTCTCTCTGCAAGACTCCTTGCAACCTTGAAGGTGCTAGCAATGGCTGTACTGCAGGGGCTGTGTAAAATCTAATCTGAAAACACTCGAGAATTGCTGATAATGCTCCAGTGATCATGTGATTACCGTAGCTGTTTTCATATGAGGCAACTATACCTAATTCTTTTTATAATTGATATTAACCTGAAGTGCAAAATGCTAGTCTCCTAATTTTTTTTCTTGGTGGGGAGGCATGGGAGAGGAGCCCCATTCCTCCTCAGGTATTCATCAGGGAGCACACACAACTTGTGACTCAATACCTATCGATGCTCGAATGGGAAAAAAAATATTTATGGAGAATTGCCTGAAGGACCTATTCAATCCACTCTTCTAAATACTTAAGAATTTAACCTTGTTTCAATTCAGACTGTAAGAGCAGAGAATTTGTACCACATCATAGGGGTCCCTTATTGAACTGTTTTTATTAATAATCATTGGCTCATCCCATTTTCTATCCCTGTCCTGAATGTATGTTTCTGAGTAGTCTGCCTTAAATTTTTTATAAGACAAAATAGGGGGAAAAAAAAAAGACAAAATAGGTATGAGAATGAACTCTGTAGAGTCCAAAGGACATATGAAGGGCTCTTAAGTTTCATTTCCTTGCTCCGTTTAAGGGTTTAAGATCTCATGCCACATGTAAATTAGCTATAGATTTGCAAGGATCACAAAGAGATCTTGTATTTTTTAAGAAGATAAAGATTGCAAAGATAGTCCCTCCCCCAATACAATGCTACTGTGAGATTTTGACCATTTTCAAATACCTATTAAGGTGAGTAGAGATAGATACCTATTTGGCTTAATGCCCTCCCCCCCACCCCCCACATGCCAAAAAGTATAACCTTGGCTGAATTCAATGTTCAAGCGGGCACTTCCACGATAAAATGGTTTACCTCAACATCCAGCTCAAGAATGTCTGCCGTCACATTCATTAGAGAGCCAATGTTCGGCTTGGTTCTCCCAAAGTCTCCATGTACAAACTCCTTAATGTAGCTGGGGTTTGTTTAAGGAAACAATGGAGATAGCTATGCAGCACTAACTTTGGTGAGATTTGATAGGTACAAGGGAAATGACAGACAAGCAGAAATGTTACAAAGGAGAGGTTATTTCTGAGCTGTGACCTGTGATGTGTGTCTTAAAAAATAAGCTTTGGCAAACTGGTTCCTATCAGCCTTGCAGCCAACAGCAGGACTTGGCACCTGTGTTTACATCAAACTTAACAAAGAGTCATGACTTTCTTTTTCTTTAGCTCATCTCCAAGTGCCATGGTTTGGATAAGAATTTTCTTAAAGATTTAAAAAAATTTTTTTTAACTAGAATTGAAATTTAAAAATTGAAATAAAAAAAGATTTTTCAAAAGTAATCTCTACACCCAACATGGGGCTTGAACCCACAACCCTGAGATCAAGAGTCCCACGCTCCACTGCCTGAGCCAACCAGGCGACTTTGCATATGGATTTTAAAATTAACTATAGTTCAATACTAAACAAAACAAAACAACAACAACAACAACAAAACTTAGCTACCTTTTCTTTGCCACAAATTCCATTTTGTCATCTTTTTGGTCTCATTTTTCAATAATGTAAGCTGTCATCTGCCAGAAGATAGATTTCCACAGGGTCACACATGGAGTGACCTCAATCACAGTTTCCTAGTAATGTGACCCAGTGGCACAATAGCAGTAGGATGGGAGGGACAATGAGGATATTTATTTAGTCACTGATAAAGGCCCTTCAGGAGAATTATCAAAGGACCGAAGTTTTAGCTGTTTGCAACTTTTGCATGGTTAGCAAGAGAATTCAGTCTTTTTTTTAAGGGGACGATTTCATGTTTCCCTCATAGATCTTCAAATTTTGACGTCAATGGCTAATCCTACAATTAATTATTAAGATTACATTAACATTTCTTACACAGGACTCTACTACAGCCTTGAAAATATTTATCCGAGATATAATTTTGCTAGCATTCAGTAAAAACTCATTCAGCATTATGTTATGTTCTACAAGCTGGCACTTGGTATAAAAATTTAATTTGCGTAGGAAAAACAAGTTTATTTTCAGATGATAAAAAACACCATAAATATTATGTCCTCCTCATTTTCTGAAAGTATAGTTACTCTGCTTTCACCAAATGTTTTAACTCAAGCTTAAGAGATATAATTATCTAGTTAACTGCCTTCTTTGCTAAACTCATAATTACTCAACAATTGTCATTCTTTTTCTTTCAAGAATGCTACTTTTGAGTAGCAATGATGAGGGGAGTTGACCAAAAAGTCCAGAACAACCAGCTAAAAGGGCCAGCAAGATTCTTATTCATAGCCAGAAGGATGAGGTGTAAGTCAAATGAACTGGTTCAGCATTATGAGCAATATATGTTGAAACCTCACATACTTCTGTGTATAACCACATGGTATCTAACGCTTACCAGAGAGTTTTCCTTGGCTATGCCAGTAAGAGACATACATAGTTGGCCCTAATAATGTTTTAATAAAAACCCACTACATTTCACCTTGGCACACTAAAATGAAAGCTGGAATTAGGTTAAAAAAAAATCTATGATTTCTTTGAAATTCCATCCACAGTCCATCTACAGCAGGCAAATGTGCTCCAAACAACAAAGCTACAAAGGTCTGTCTACTGCAGTCCAAACAGATAATCCCTCGATCTGCACCAAAAATTTAAGAGATTATTTTAAGAGTAAATAACATCTACCTATTTCAGCCTAGCAAATCCTGGTCACTTCTGGGATAGGATGGGGTGGGGTGGCATGGGGATGGGGAGGAAGAAGGGAGAAGAGGTTGATGGAGAAGAGACAGCTGATTACAGCAACACGGTGAGAATGCTACTTGGTGACTAAAATGACATTTTTTGCAATATGCCCATAAGCACATCACTAGTGTTATACTAGTGAAGTATTTTATCATTTCATCCTATTGGATCACTAAATAATATAAAACCAAGAAACAAATATTGGGAGCACCTTTGAAAAGTAAACTAGAGCTAGGACTCTGGCAACTGCCTGATGTGTTTTAACCAACAACTCAGCTTGGATACAAAACCACACGAAGCAGGGCATGATATGAACAAGCGATCATTTTTGGACTATTCTCTTGTTTTGGGCCAGTCACCAAATAAAGTGAAGATCAGTATGTAAAGTAGGGCCACTCCCATCTATCAGCGTTTGGTGATCTGGGGCAAATGCTCAAAATGCTGAAAGGACCCAAATGTGTTAATGAAAATGTGACTTGCAAAATGTATAAAGACACAAATCAATAAATGAATCAATCAAAACTGTTCCCTGAGTACTTACTATGCAGTCAGCATTGTGTGAGACGCTGTGACTATTCTAAAGTTCATGCTCTACTGGCTGCCTCATGGTTTAAGATGTCATTTTGAAAGATACAAATTAAATGGGAACCCCCTTTTCTTCCCCCCCCCAAAAAGAACTCTTCTCCAACCTAATCCTTACCCTAATCATTCCTAGATCAAGTTGCACCTATTTTTTAGGGCAGCGGGAACTCCTCCGACAGGGTTCTGGTTAAAGTACTGCTATGCAGAAAGTGAAAGGATACGTCCCGGCTTGAGTCTTCAGATAGAGGTGGAAATGATGTTCATCCACATAGCGTGTCTCCATGGAGTGAATGATGCGAGTTCTCACAGCCAGGGGCCTCCGGTGAAGGACCCGCAGAGGTGTTTTCTGGTCGATCTTTAAGTCCTAGAGGAGGATGTGTTACACAACCATGGAGTCAGCTCTGCTGCCCAGGGAAGCCGCCTCAGCACCTCCTCTGTCATCCATGGCCTACCACAGATGTTTTCTCTGGAGGGCCTCATCTCTCACTGTCAGGGTAGATACCAATACTAAAAGAAATTGCATTCCCTATGGTTCAGGCTCTGTGGAACTTCTCATAACCTAGGCCCTAGTTACTCATTTCCTGGGCCCCAGTATGCCACTTACAAAAGGCTTTGAAGCAAATGATCCCCAAGGTCTCTTTTGCTCTAAAAACTTAATCAATTAATTAAATTGATTAGGACCCTGGAATTCTAGTTTGTCCTTTAACAGCGGTTTTCTAGAAGACCTGTTCTTTGTTCTCCCCATAACCTAACAGATGACCTAACAACGGGGTGAAAAGTTGATGTGAGTAATGGCTGTTTATAGGTGAGACCTCAGCATCCCTGGTATGTATGGGCAGAGTGCATGTTTTAAGGACAACCATACACCCACTTACAAGGTTATTTGTTTTGTTGTTATATGAAAAGATGTATCTGGAAAATTAACGGTTACATCACTATAATTACAAAAAAGTGTGTACAGTAAACCAGGAACTCTCAGTATTGATAAGCCCATTTCAGGTTACTTGAGAATAATAATACTGCGTGCCTTTTTTTACAATTCAGATTTCGTTAGGGGCACAGGCTTGTTTTTCTTATAATTAGAGATTTCCTTTCATCACGTGACATAAATTAAGAAATAGAGATTGATATTGTAAAAGGTCAACTGGTTCCAAGTCTTAAAAATAGAGATTGGGCCTAAGGAGAAATGGAGGTTCGGTTCGTAAGAACTTTGAACCTTCTGCCATTTCTTGTTGGAACAACTCCTTCCTCATTTACATGATTTGGGAGTGCCTGCAGCCATGCGAAGAAAAGAAGGATTTCAGTCTGGTCTCCCCTATATCAAGTTCTCCACTAAGAAAGGACGAGCAAGTTCTGACAAAGACTATACTTGAAATGGTGTGACTGTTTTGATCATAGCAGTGAGTCAACGGCCCCTCCTAATTCACGGGTTTTATGATCCTTTCATTCTTTGATTTTAGAATCACTTTGTTCTGCTGAGATAGGCTGTCTCCATAAGGTTTGACATTTCTCCGGCCAAAAAAGACAAAAAAAAAAAAAAAGGACAAGGCTGAGCTGTTAAGGAATCTGTACAGATACGGCCTCTGCTATAAAGTACAGAAATAGCTGGCTTTAAATGAAGGACTAAGGAGTGCTCTTCTCCTTGTTCCCTTTCTGGCTACTCACTCCCAGTACTGTGAACCATGAACTAGTCAATGGAAGTACTACTTGAGCCAGCAGACCCACCACCGGGCTTCCAACATAACACTCAATCCGCACACACTCCTGTGCATGTTTTGTTTTCAGTAGACAAAAGGAAACCATAACTCTAACAGTGCACTCTGCTGGCCCCATTCTGCTGAATTTTCAGGAACACATACACATATACACAAAAGATTTTTTTTTTCCTTAGAAGTAGGTTGCCCTTAGAAGAGACATAATAAATTTGAAGTGGCTCTTTCTCAAAATGGGACAGTAACTCAGTTTTTGTATTTTTGATGACAGTAGGAATATTAGAAAATACTGTTAACCCCAACACAAAAAAATATGAGAAGTCAGCTAGTCCCATCAGTCTATTTGGGCTGTGAACCATTAAAAGAGACCCTTTCACTGCTTACTCTCTACCTACAAAAATCATCTTTCAGCATTATTTCTGAATTAGCTCTGAGTTAGGCTACCTCCAAATGATGAATCTTTTTTTTTTTTTTTAAGCAGGCTCCACACCCATGTGGGGGTTCAAACTCATGACTCCAAGATCAAGAGTCACATGCTCTACCGACTGAGCCATCTAAGGCGCCTCTAAATCTGTTTTTTAAATGAGTTAATTTTCCTCCCTGCATTCTGAATGACTTGTACTGTGATGGAACAGAGGTTTAGATATTTGTTTTGCAATTTTAAAGGTATCTGTCTAAAGCTGATCTATCATCCTAGAGGTCCCAGGTAATGGACCAAAAGCCAATAGCTTTTGATATAGAATCACAGAACGTGAGAACTGGAGGCCCTCAGGGGGTGATCTGATCCACCACCACCCCCCCGTTAGAGATGGACTTGTCTAAGGGGGTGAATGACTCGTATGTTTTCACCAAAACACTCATACTATAAACACTATTCTGCCTTTCACTTTCTTTCTCATAATGTCATGCGTGTTTCTGTAAGTCATAGATGTAGACCTAGCTCCATCCTTTTTTTCCAACAATTTTAGGCATATATACACACAACAACATAAATGAAATGGGGGCACATGCTGTTTTAGTTGTTTTTTTTTTTTTAATAGCTTTATAATATTCCAGCTGGTTCTGCCATTTTCCTTTTTGAAGGAAACTCACTTCGTTTTTAGTTGTGTTGTTGATTTTGGCACTTTGAGTACAGTAAACATGCTTGTGCACATATCCTTATGCACTGGAGTTTTATTTCTTCAGGACAGACCTCCACTAGTAAAAGTGCTGGGTAGGAGACCAGTATATTTTCAATTTTTATTTTTATTTTTTTTTAAAGATTTATTTATTTATTCATTCAGAGAGAGAGAAGAGAGAGGCAGATACACAGGCAGAGGGAGAAGCAGGCTCCACGCAGGAAGCCCGATGTGGGACTCGATCTTGGGTCTCCAGGATCACACCCTGGGCTGCAGGCGGCGCTAAACCGCTGCGCCACCGGGGCTGCCCTATATTTTCAATTTTTACAGTCATCGCTACATTGTTTTCCAAAAAGGTTAAACACTTTACATTTCTACTGACAAAGTATCCAACCAGCATTCTCCTCCATGCCAACCAGTGGGAGGGCTAAAGTGATGTCTTGTTCCTTCAATCCAGAAGTGGAACATCTTTTCAAATGATTCTTGGCCATTTGGAGGCGCTCATTTTCAGCTGCTTGTTGATATCCTTTGTCTATTTTTCTGTATTGGGGGTTTGTATTTTTAATAAGGATAAATCCTATTTATGGTATATTTGCCATACAGTTTGTTTTCTACATAGACATATATATGAGCACACACTTGTGTGTGTGTGTTTAAATCACAATATATCACCCTCTATATACTCTTCATAGCTTGTTTTCTATCCCCTTAGCATCCCTTAGAAACACTTTCCTTTGTCAATTAATAGTCATCTACTACATAATTTCTAACAGCTGGTAGCAATTGCCCATCATACAGATAAACCATAAGATTAAGCTGTTCCCCTCTAGTAGGTCATCTAGATTATTACAAAATATTGCTCATTTAAACAATGTTGTGATAACTTCACACATCTCTGTGCCCATTTATGCTCATTCCTTGCATTTCAGAGTAAATTACCTTTACAGGAAGAGGTGGGGACAGGTGGGGAAGAAATATGCAAATGAATGGGCAGATCCTTGACAGTGATATGCTCCTGTAAAGGAAAATTTAGCAGGTGCCAAAGTATTTGTGCTGTGCATATATTATCCTTCTTATAATATATAAGAAGGATAATATATATTATAATAATATTATATAATATATTATTATATATTATATATTAATATTATATAATTATATATAATATTAATATCATATATATTAATATATATTATATAATAATATATATTATCCTTCTAATAACATGTTTTATTTATGCACTTAATCTTAGCATCAATTCTATTAAACCAGTTCTATTTTCCTTTTTACAGACGGCAAAATGGAATAATAGCATTGCTAAGGTTTTCTAGGTACCAGAGATCGCTTTAAGTGCTTCATATGACTAAACTCATTTCATCCTTCTAACTAATTTTATAGATGAAAAAACTGAAGCATACAGAGGCTAAGCAACTTGTCCAAAGTCACAAAACTATGAAATGGGGATCCAGGATTTGTGTCCAAGTGATCTGTGCCTAGAGGCAGGCTCTTCGTCACTAGCAGTGCTGCCTCTCAGGCTCAATCAATCGTGCAGCCATTCAACCAGTAAATGGCAAAGTCAGGATTTGAAAGCAGGTCTCACATTCCCCAAAGCCCATGCTGTATGACTTGCTTGTAATAAAGTAAAAGAGAAAGGACTCTTTTATGGAAATTTAAAAATAAAATAAAAAGAGAGAACTTAACTACCTTTATGTCATTTAGGAATTCAATGTCTTTCTTCTGTATGGCTTTATTTGTCCATATTAAGGCACTATAGGACTTGGTCTTTTCTTCTTCACCTTCTTTCATATGTCCTATTGCCTCTCTAAACAAAAACAATAAAAGAAAGTTTGTCTAAATGCATAGGATACACACATGCCTTACCCCAAATTTCCCTTTCTTTAAAAATAGCTTTATTGAGATAAAATTTACATACAATTCCTGTTCTAACTGTACAATCCAGTGATTTTTAGTGTGTTTACAGAGCTGTGTAGCTATCACCATGATCTAATTTTAAAATACTTCATCACCCTAAAAAAAGAAATTCCATGCCTATTTGTAGTCACTTCCCATTCCCCATTTCCCCCAGCCTTTGGCAACCACTAAATGATTTTCTCTGTATTTCCCTACTCTGATTATTTCATATAAAATAGAATAATAAATATGTGGTGTGTGGTGTCTGGCTTCTTTTACTTCATAATGTTTTCAGGGGTCATCTATGTTGGATTATGTATCAGTACTTTATTCCTTTTTATTACCGAGTAATATTCTACTCTACAGAGATACCGTATTTTATCCATGGCTATTTGAGTTGTTTCTACTTTTTTGCTACTATGAATAATTCTACTTTGAACATTCATATAGAAGTCTTTGTGTGTACGTACATTTTCATTTCTCTTGGGTGTATACCTAGAAGTGGAACTGCTGGGTCATAATGGTAACTCTATGTTTAAACCTTTTGAGAAACTGTCAAACTGTCTTTCAAAGTGGCCACACTTAACAATCCCACAGCAATATACAAGGGTTCCAATTTCTCCACATCTTTGTCAACATTTTTTTTTCTTTTTGATTATAGCCATCCTAGTGAGGGTAAAGTGAGCTATCAATGAGGTTTTGATTTGCCCTTCCCCAATGGCAAATGATATTGAGCATCTCATGTATTCATTCATTAATTGTGTATCCTCTTTGGAGAAATGTCCACTTAATCATCTCCCTCATTTTTAATTGGGTTGTTTTCTTATTATTGAGTTGTAAGAGTTCTTTGTATATTCTGGATACAATTCCCTCAACAGATATATGATCTGCAACCAAAACTTCCCTTTTGAGATCATCTCCAGTGGGTCTACCCTTACCTTGTGACAAGCTGCAAGTCACGGACTTGGATTTTGTTAGATGAATTATTAATTTTCTGTAGTAGCAGAAAAAGAAAAACAATTAGCAACTCTAGTTCAGTTATAGAGTTGCAGAAACATGACGATTTCCATGTCATGAAGTGGTTTACCTGCTGAAGTTCCTTAATTTCTTGTGAAGTGAAATGTACTCTATGAGGATTCACCAGCTCAATTGCAAAGGGCCTTCCTGGCAGCACACACCCCGTCATGAAACAGAAACGTGTTGATGGAGTTAACATTTGGGCTAATGCAAGAGGGTTAGGAGGTGTGAAAAAACGAGTTGAGCTCTAGAGGACTGAAAGTTTAGTGACATGACTACATCTGGGGGAGGGAAGAATGTGTGAAAGAATCAAGCGGCTTTTTGGGGGCTGCTAAACTCCAGTACTGGCAATATGTGAAAATGACTGCTTTCCCAAAGGTCCATGAACAAGCCTGTGTTAATTACAAAATAAAATCCAAACAACCGCTAATTGATTTGGTTACACTAAGGTAACGTTATCACATATAGCAACGCCCAGGTATACCAACCAAGCTGAAATCCATCCTGCTAAGCCTAATCCACTAGTGAAATGGAAAAGCTGTGATTCCATAACAGGAAGGGACTATTAATCTCAAGCTCAGGATTAACTCTCATCATCTTTTTTTGTAATGCAATAATGTAAAATGAGAGAAATGAAGGCTAAGAGAGCAGAATCACTTTTTAAATGAAGATGTGCATTTTTGAAAACTGTACTGGTACTGCTGAAATGTTATCAAATGGAACAATTAATAAGCAAACTTTTGGAAAAACTCAGGCACCGCCTTATTAATGCATATAAAAGTCCCTTAGAACCTACAGGTATACAGTAAGGATGGCCTCTTAAGAAATGAATCCTGTTAAAATATAATCATATAATTTATAAAGGTAGCTCCACAATCCACAAAGCTTCCTCACCGGGAGAAGCCGTGGGCTCTGACCACTTTGGTTTTAACTAAGCAACTACAGCGAACCTGCTGTCTGAGAACGATGACAGTCTGAAAGTTAGTTCTAGTCAAGTGATGCTGTTGCAATCTTACCATTTCCTAATGTTCTCACATCTACATCTTCTCTTCCAGAGGAGGAAAAATTAAAACCTTTGCAAAGCAGATAAAGAAAAATAATCAGTAACATAATCCTAAGACTTTCATTCCCATCCTTTAGTAGAAACCCCATTTGTCAGGACCCCTGGGTGGCTTAGTGGCTGAGTGTCTGCCTTTGGCTTAGGTCGTGATCCCAGGGTCCTGGGATTGAGTCCTGCATTGGGCTGCCCACAAGGAACCTGCTTCTCCCTCTGTTTCTCTGCCTCTCTCTGTGTGTCTCTCATGAATAAATAAATAAAATCTTTAAAAAAAATTGTCTTGAACAATCTACAGGAGAATTCCAAGGGATGGTCATCCCACCTCTAATCTCAATCTCTAATAAAAATAGCAATGATAATAAGAAACACCATTTAATGAGAATGAGCACTCATTTTATGCTCTGAGCTAAAATTTTGCATACATTATTTCATTTAATTCTTATTATAATCTTAAGTTATAGGTATTAAATAAAAGAACACCAAGCTTCCAAGGGGATAAGTACTTTTCCCAAGATCACATGATTAAATAGCAGAGCTGTTCCTTATGTCAAAGCCAGACCTTAGCTATCATCTGATGCCATCATCTCATCTCAAAGTCAAAAGGAGAGAGCACTGTTTGGAGGAAAGCTCCACTACAACTCTGGCCACAAGCTTATAGTGAAAAATCTATCATCTTATCTTTTTTCCTTAAAACAAAACAAAGGAAAATCATTTATTTGTGAATTAAACTCTATGAAAAGGGGTGAAAAAAAAAGGGTTTTAAAGCAAATTCTTTATATTAAACAAACTTAAGGTGCGACTACAACAAAACCAGTGTTCATTCTAAGATAGACGGATCATCCTAGACTAAAACGCTGCAAATGTTAGAACGGGAAATGGTATATAAAAAAAGGGGAGGGGTTACACCACAGTGTTCTCTTTTTCTTTTTTTAAAGATTTTATTTATTTATTCATGAGAGAGACAGAGAGAGAGAGAGAGAGGCAGAGACACAGGCAGATGGAGAAGCAGGCTCCCTGCAGGAAGCCCGACGTGGGACTTGATGCAGGACCCCAGGATCACGCCCTGAGACAAAGGCAGACGCTCAACTCCGAGCCACCCAGGTATCCATCTTGACAGTGTTCTCTAGATACAAAACTGATGATTTCACCAGCATCGCCATAGCAAACATTACCCCCAGCAGGCATTATTATAAATGCTTCATACACGTTAACACTATGAGGTAGGCCTATCATTATACTTGTAAGTAAAAGGAGACAGACAGGATAGGTAACTGGCCTAAGATCATATCACTGGTAGGTGGTGAGGCCAGCATTTGAACCAGAGAGTCTCACCCTAGAGTCTCTTAACCACCACAAAGACAGGCAGAAGAGTTCAGACTTGTGCCCACAGGGAAAGCAAGACCAGTTTTCTTAGAGCAGGGATTAGAAAAGGCTGGGATGTTTGGAGAACTCTGGTCAGTCATTAGAGTTTGGCAAGGTATAAGATCTCTGAACACATATATTGGGGGCTAGAACTCAGATTCACATCCTGATGTATTCATTCAGGAACAAATGTCTACAGTGGGTATGTGCAAGGCATTCTGCTAGATCCTGGGGAGACAAACAAGATGGACACAGCCCTTATCTTCATAGGGCTTACTCTCTGTGGAAGGGTAAGGAATGTAATATAGTGGATAGGTGAGGACAGGAAGCATACAGGAACATTCCTGTACTAAGAGCTCAGCTGCAGCATGAGCAATGAGGTTTATAATTTATTCCTCAATGGTCCAGCCACTTTGGAAAGCACAAGATGACGAAGAACAAGATAGCTGTGAGGGACAAATGGGAAAGGTGGAAGGAGAGCGAACATTATTTTGATAGCCACTTTTTTTCCCCAAGGGAAGAGTCCATATGAAAAGGTCCCAGGTAGATTTTAGAAAAAGGAAGGTTAACAGGCTTGAAAAGTTCTATGAAAATGACACTGAAGATTAGCTCTCTTTTCTAATAAGATATTTAGCTGTGAAGAAAGTAGGATTTCATTCTTCTTTCACCTCTAAGAAATCCCTTTTGTAAACCAAGGTCAACACTTTAGAGAAACAACCTCTGAGCTGTTGTTTACCATGTACTGCCAGGGTCAAGTGGGCTCCTGTCTGCCCACAGGGCCCAAAGCTATGGGTCTCACAGAAAGAAGCAGCCCAGAGCTGGTTAGGTAAGGACTAGATACCCAGGGTAGGCCTAGAATTTAGGCTGCTGCACTAACACTTGAGAACTGGCCAGGCAAGCAGTCATGAAAGCCATAGGGTCAGGCTCTTCTCAAGGTAGAGAATCTAGGCCAGGCAAGGAGTAGGATTCTATGAAATATTAAGTCCCAAAGAACCCTCTACTCCATGTTTACACTCTGTTGTTAAGCTGTTAATAAAATCCATAGTAACATCAGTTAGCTTCTAGTCAGAGTCCAGACTTAAGAGTAGCACTGACTAGAGGTGGATAGCTAAATGCAGAGTTCAGAAAGGCATCTGGGAAGCTGAAAGATACTGACTGCCTGGGGCTGCAATCTGTCTTAAACCTGCCCACCTCCATCTCCAAACCAGCCATAATGTTAGGGAACCAGGGGATCCAGAGTGACTGAGCCATAACCTGTGAGTGGTAGGGGTGAAGGGAATGAACAGGACACAAAGAGGTAAGTCTACCAATGACAGCTAAATTAGATCAGAAATCTCCAGTTCATAAATTAGCCCAGAAAACTTCCATAAATCCTAGCTCATTTATAAGAAAGAGTTGCAGAAAGCTGGGCTCTTGATATGTCCAGAGAAACATTAAATCCAGACAAAGGAAGAAGGGACATTTATTCTATCTCTTAGAAAAATATTTCAAATATGGACACTACATTCAGAAATCCTCTGGCAGGGAGTAACCTTTAACATTTTATTCCTGTGAAATTACGAATATTAGCTGACAACAAAATGAAAAGGAGTATTAGGAAATATATGTTTAAAATTTGGCTTCCTTTTTTTTTTTTTAACGATTTTATTTTTAAGTAATCTCTACACCAAAGTGGGGCTGGAACTCACAACCCTGAGACTAAGAGTTGCATATTCTATGGACTAAGCCACCCAAGTGTCTAGGTTGAGTTTTCTAAATTCACATTATGCTTTGTCTTATCCCCCTAATCCTGAGCAAAAGGCTCAAAGGGATAGATATTTCAAAAATGTCTAAAAATACAAGTGCAAGAATCAGAAACTATCAGCAGTTCAGCTGGTCTGTAGTGGCCATCATACCCAGGACAGACAGATGATGGGATTGACAAATGAGCAGAGGCCAGAGGACAAAGGCCTCAGAAGATCAAGTTCAGTAGTTTGGACTTTTATCCTGTATGTAGTCATTGGCAAGTTTTCAGCAGGGAAATAACATGACAGATATTCATTCAATAAGTGTAATAATAAATGGGTTAGGGGAAAATTTCTTTGACACATTGACTGTGAGAGTGTGTCTAAGTTTATTACTCACTAACTAGGGGATTAGCTAGTGGATAATATGATGTACCCATTTAAAAGTGACTGAGAAACAAATTTGTATTTCCCATTTGTATCTTAAGGAATCTTTATTTTTTAATTTGTATTTTTAAAAAACTTTACTTGACATAGAGAAGGCGTGGGGGAGGGGGAGAGGGAATCTGAAGCTGACTCAGCACTGAGAACAGAGCCCAACACAGGACCCGATCCCACAGCCATGAGGCTATGACCTGAGACGAAAACAAGAGTCGAACGCTCAACCATCTGAGCCACTCAGGCGCTTCATGGGGAAGGAATCTTTATATAAGTAGCTAGAGTACTTCATATAATACTGCTTATTTTCAAAGCTGTAAACCATTAGAGGTAAAACAATCAGAACCATCTTCCCAGAGCTGTCAAACAAGAACCACAGAAATAACAAGTAATATATCTGAGATACATAGGTTTAGCAAATTGATGCTACCGATCAGCCATTTCAAACAACAGGTTTTTATCCCCTAACAAGGAGCCAGTTAGCACAGAGGCTCAGCGGTCTGCTTTTTCTCAAGCAGCTCTTAATAAATTTCCTCAAGACACAATTACAGATGCTAAACACACAGTATGCTTCATTTTCAGTTTGGGTATAATTTTTTCCCCCTCAAATGGAAAATGAAACCACACTAACTTCATGAAAGATTTCAAGGGGGAAAAATACAGCTGGTTAGGAGCCTCCCAACAGCCCAATTGATAATGGGGGCTTCCTTGGGACCCAAATAATCAAAACTGAAATTTTCTTGAGTCATCTTATAGAAAGAGAGTAAGGGGGACCTAAAAAAGAGTTTGGAAGAGACTTTTTGTGCTAAAGTCTGATTTTCACATCTTCATAATTTGGATAATGCTTATGAGATAACCAGTATGTAAATATTAAGTAGGTAAAAGCTCATGCCAATATCCTAGAGTCTTGACTGCTTAGATTTTGGAAAATGTTAGGTTGAGAGGTTAATTTCTTCTTTATTCAGTAAACAATTCTTAAAGACCCTTAAAAAGAGGGTCCATGAACCCAATAGGCAAAACAAATTATAAGAAGGATGTAGTTTAAAGTGCTTCTCTTTCCTCTTGACAAGCCAGAGAGCTGGAAGGAACAACAACCATATCTCTTCTCAATCATCTGCTTGCCATTCCTAAAGCAGGCTTGTGTTAAGGTGTTTCAGAGAGAAGGGTAGATATCTAGTTGGTTCCTCAAAAAAGGTGTTCTAATTAGGCTAGGAGACCCACTTCCAAGTAAATCTTTATTTACTGCCTACAGTTTTTCCTGATGTACAACATGACTGCAACTCAAATCTTAGCCTCTTTCTTCTAGTCTAATCCTAGGTGAAATCACATCTATGTATGCTGCCTGTGACCTGACAACCCCATTGAGACAAAGAAAACAAACCTGACAGTATCTGACTCATCCCACAAACCTGGGCTCATTAATACCTGGAAAATTAAAATACAACATACTATCACTAAATATTTGTAAAATGATAGCTGTTGATCTATTTTCTCTAATCTTGAACTTTATCCCAGGAAGGTTGAGCAGTTAAGATGGAAGCTCCACATCTGCCAATGATTATTTTTGAACAAGCACTACATGTGGAAGGTGTGTTTTAATTTCCTCATATTCCCCCAAAAGAGGCCAAGTCTCAGGTGTCCCAAGGTCAGAGCTCAAGTACCCTCACTTAAAATAGTTGCAATGGTTTTGAATTTGCTCAGGAAAGAATAGTCATCTTGAGAAAGGAAAGAAAAACTTGGCTCAAATCCAGCCTAAGTCAGAGGTGCTAGGACACGGTGACCCCTGTTCATGGGAAGCTGCCAAGCAAGGAGACCAGATGTGGTGATTTACAAAATTTAGAAATCCTTCCTGCCACCCCCAAGAAATCTATTCATGAATTATAATGTGTTTAAAATATGAATATTATAACACTTACTCTCTGCTTTGAATACTGCCAAAAGATGATCTGAAATTAATTCTTCCACTGAAGATTCCAGCTTCCTTTCTCCATCAATTATCCAAGGAGTCTGTGGTAGATTCCTGGAATATTTATTGTATCTCCCTGCCAAAGAAACATAAGGTAGCCTGGATGGAACAGTATAATTAACACAATAAGATAAAACAACTATTTATTGAGTGCCAATATCCTAGGTGCCATGATATAAAACAATGCTTAGCCTTCAACTAACTTACAATCTAATTTGGGAAGCCAGCCCATACACATATAAATACTTAAAAGATTTAAGATAACAGTAGGAGAGATGGCTAAAGATATGATGTGAATCATCAAATGTGCTCTAAAGGAATGCTCAATAAAGTTATTAATCTGATTGGCCGACTGAACAAGTTATAATATAGAACACACCAAGGATCATTACAAAAAAAAACAAAACAAAACAAAACAAAAAAACCAGCAACTACTGCTTTCACACCTGATTAATAATACTTTTAATGCAATACTCATTGGTGATAAAACATCCAAAGAGTTCAAATACAGGAAATTTTGAAGTTTTTATAATTAAAAAAACACCACAACCCTAACAATATGACTCACTGCTTTATGAATAAAGCTGCACTAATGGCAGGTAGCTTTTATTACCATGGGCCAAGGTATTATAGTTGAAACTAGAGAGCAATTTCATTTCAGTTATTACTGTGAAATAGATGTAGCTTTCAAAACAAAAACTATTTGCTAGATTACCTCTTGGGAAGGTCAATGTAACCTTTTTTTTTTTTTTAAGGCAGAAGCTCAGTCTTCAGTCATTTTGCAGATAATATAATTATTTTTTCAAGTTTGCTCTCATGCTCTCTATGGCTACATTTCTCCTGATCAGTTTCGGGTCTCTGCATCTACCCATATTTCTACGGGTATTGGCCATCTCTGGTGGAAACTGTTAAAACCCGAGAAGCGTCATTTCCCTTTGGCATGGCATTTTAAAGAACAGAACTTAAGTGGGCTTTAAGAACACCTAAGGACCTAAAATAAGCTTGGCTATCAGTGCTAGTCCTCAAAAGATTTAACTAGTCAGAACCTAATAATGAAAATAAGAAGGAAACACTTGAGTTTTTCAGAAAGGAGAGTAAGTTGACAGTGTAAGTATATTCTAGACTAAATGTTTTACCAGCCACAAAAACAGCACCATGAGCACACTCAATTTCAAGAACAGTGCATACAGCCTTTGGTGAGTTTGGAGGACAAGGAAACTGCCTGCAAAACAAAATAAATTTCACAGCTACTATTTTCCAGACATGATATCGAACCACATAACTAGGATGAATCAGCATTGTCTGAGATGCACAGAGCCCAAGTCTCTCGTGGACCAAGCCACTACCTAACTTTAAGTTTCGGAATCATAAGCATCCTTCCGGCCTCACATACATTTTAATACATGAGAGTGGCACTAAGTAAATCAGGGCTCTGCTACCACCTTTCACTGAGGAGGCCTCATGTTCCCAGATGATCATTTCCAACAGCCTTGAGATTTGAGAAAAACACCTTGTATTTATGAAGTGGACTAGCCATTTAGCTATCTGTGAACACTTGGTGCCAGCCTACAAAACCCTTAATCATTTGATTAACTACTCACAGGAGTAAGTCCCACCTAAGGGGAGAGTCTCCACCATTTTCCTCTCTCTCTCTCATTCCAACTATGACCTCAGGGCCAGAAAAAGTGGAATGTGGCAGACTCTGACCTTTTAGCTAAGAAACTTCCATCCAACTGAAGACAGACAGGAAAGAGCAATGTATAGCTTAATTTTCTGGCTACCATCTGGGAACTTCCAAAGCCATGGGCTGGAGTCTACCTGTAAATGACTAGATATGGACTTACTCCAAATGCTTGGCTTGAAAATGTCATTGTTTCCCAAGATGTCTTAGCAAAGAAATCACTTAGAAACCCAGAAACTATTGCTTGTAGAAACTAGCTAACTTTACTTTCTAAAATTTAATAGAAGTATTTCCATTTTCTGAGACTTGCTTTTAGTCAGTAAGATAAATAAAACCTTCTTCATAACTTCATTGTTTGAAATTTATTCAAGGATATTCTGGAAGGATAACTATGATAATATTTTATTAAATAAAATGAACACAATGAGAATTAAAATATAAGGTGTATTGTATTTCAGCATATTTTAACAAGTGAAGAACTCATGAGCCTTTTTCTCCCTCTTCTGGAAATGGATAATACTCAAAATGCAGGATGAGGGATGTATTGGGACCAGCTCTGGGCTGGAGAGTCAGGAACTCTGGCTCTAAGTCCACTCTACTACCCAGTTGATATCTTAGGCAAGTCAACTCGCTTAATATCCTCTCTTTGGATTTGATTTATAAATTCAAATACCAGTTCAACAAACATTTATTGAACACTACTATGTGCCAGGTACCATGCCAGGGAGTGGGGATATAACAATGACTAAGACACAACTGTCACCCCTGAAATGCATCCAGTTTTGTTTTAGAGATAATCCAGATTATCTCTAACATTCCTTTTGTTCAAAAATTCCATGATACTTCCATGTTTCTATACTTCTACTTACTTGCGGAAATCCTCTTCTTTTATCTTATTCAACGCTTTCATAACTGCCATTCTAGTGAACACTGACTATATAAGGTAAAAATGATAAGAAAAGACATTTTATCACCCAGACAAGAAAACATCAGAGGTGAAACACAGAACATGGTTGGAGAAATTACATCATTTTAAACCATACTTACAGGAGACAAATACTTAATAGCTTCAAGAAAATAAAACATAAGCATTCACATACTGTCAATTCTCCCCACAACTCTTTCCAATTTAGTCTATGTCCATAATACCAGGTAGATCTAGAAGAACCATTTAGCAGCAGGTTTCCAGGCTATGAAGTAAATAGAACCAACCAGCCTGCCCTGGCATCTAGCGACTCATTATCACTCACCAGCCACAGAAAAATTAAACAAATTCATCTACAACAAATGTCCCACACTGGACTTTTTAAGATAAGAAAAGCCAAACCACATGGTAGATATACTAGAACAAATTAGTGCATATATACATAGCTTACTATGATAAATCACAATTGTCTCTTCTGTTTTGAGAAATTACACTTGGCTATAAAGAGGCACAATGTAGGCACTTCAAGAGTTTATCAACAAAGCAATGATTTCCTAAACCCCAAAATATAGAGTTAAAACTGAAAAACTAGTGCCTATTTGCTAAGATATGAAATCTTAAGCCTGAGAGAATCTCAAAAGGTCATTTAACTTGCTTCCAGCAACAAACACCTACACTACTGGCCAAATGATGTGGTGTCTCTGATGCTTTGACAAAAATTTCCTTATTCTATTATTTGGTGCTGATACTTGTGCATTTCCTCAAAGATAACAAAAACTGAAATAAGATCTTCAATATAAATATGGCTATAGGTCATTTAGACAGAGCCTTTCAATGGCATGGTAAAGCAATAAGCTATAGTTGTGCTCAAGATGTTGAGCCCTCTAATTCACAAAGGCAGAGGAGCAGGGCCTGGACAGCAAGAACTCCCAGCCTATTGCTTCCAACTTAGAGCAACTTCATTTGTTACCCTCAGGGCACCAAACAAACATGGTAATGTTCTAGGTGTACCATGATGTGAGAAAGGTGGGAAGCAGCGCTTTAGGCGTTATCTGTATTTGTAATTATTTCTGCATAGGGCATTTGACAAATGTTACAGACTCTTCTCACCCACTCCCCCACCTCCTGCCCCATTCCCAGTTCCAAAAGGCTCAGCAATTAGTCAAAGCAAGAGTAAAGACCAACAGATATATCTTTGGCAATGAACTTCTATATTTTTTAACAACCAAAAGGATATTAGTAAAACTAAGAATGCCTGAGTCTCTGCATAAAACCAGCTAAGTATCTGTGGCATGAAAGCTTCCCATGACCATTGCCATGCCATTCTATCTTGGCATAGTAGAAACTAGAAGTACATGCTAACTAATTTGCTCATTAACATGCTCAAGACCAGTTCACATCAAATAAAGGAAAGTCAGAATAAAATGACCTTTTGCAAATGTAGCCTGAAATTGGCCATATTAATTCAGACTGTCTTAAGTAAAATAATTTATTTTGGATTATATTTCTTAAATACTAATTCCTAGAAAATGAATATTAGACAAAATTTGGAATGCTAACAATTTTTTTAAAGATTGATTGATTGATTGATTTATGATAGACACAGAGAGAGAGAGAGAGACAGAGACACAGGCAGAGGGAGAAGCAGGCTCCATGCCGGGAGCCCGATGTGGGACTCAATCCCGGGACTCCAGGATTGTGCCCTGGGCCAAAGGCAGGTGCCAAACCACTGAGCCACCCAGGGATCCCCGGAATGCTAACAATTAACATGGATTTTCCACAATGATGTAATTTTGAGATTAAAACCTAAAAGTCAAATTTCCCCCAAATGGGTAACAGTAACATCATTGAAACACTGCTTCTAAATTTAACACCAGGGAAACAAGCCAGACAGTGACACAAATATGAGATAGTTTGTGTTATGACTTCCTAGCTAGAGGCAAAGGTGTTTAGAGTTGAAAAAAATAAAAAAATAAATGTAGCAAATAGAAATATTTAAAGAACGATTCTTAGTATAATACACTGCCAGCATTTCTAACGGATATTATTTTGTTGTTAATTTGAATATTCAGCTCAGACAAAACTCAATAAAGAATAAAAAGAAGGAATCCGTACCTGTTTGTTTTTCGCTGGCTTGAAGCACTCTGGGCATATCGCACGTCTAAGTAAAATTCAAGTTAATAAAAAAAAGTGAATCAATTTATTTTGGGGTGAATGTAATTCAAATATATTTCATATATATATGAAACTCAAGATATCAGGAGTAGACAAAATGAATCCCTATACTAGCTGTGCTGGTATGCCTACACCCTTATATTAGCACATTTTAAACCTAAGACATGACAAATTCTGATATGCTCACTACAAAGAGGAATACTATTTCATGAAAACCAGAAAGCATTAACATTGTTATACAATTGACATTGTTGTTTAGTAGCAACTTACAGGAAGTGGCAATCCTCAACTGTTTCTGGGTGAGCAAAGACCACACTTACTTCAAACAAGCTCTAAAAATTATAAAGAGAGTTTAAAAATGAGCAAAAGGAAACCAACATCTAACCACTTATGAATGGAAATAGAAATTGACTCTCAAAGACTGGCTCAGAAAGAGTGACAAGGAAAACTGGAAATACTACTGTTCTCAAATCAGCTTGTTCACAGGACAGGGGGAAGGAAATAGTTTTGTTTTTTGTTTTTTTTACTTCTATAGCTCAATCACTAGTGATTCTACCAAAAAATTTTTTTCTAACAAATTTAAAATAAATTTGTAATGATTTATGAGCATGTATATGAATTTGATGTGAAGATGAAAGAGAATTCAGGGAACTGGAAAGAGATAACCGAAAGAAAAATTATTCCTGTTAATACTATGATTAGAATTATTAGAAAAGCAAAAGCATTTTATCCACATGCTTAAAATTAAAATCTCTGTGGGAGCCTTTATTTTTATTTTTATTTTTTTATGATGCTTTAAGAACTCAAACTTCCTAGTGGCTTTGAGTTTCAAAAGAGAGTTCTTAATTTTCTATTACAAAAATGATACATACAAATTATAAAATAATCAAACAGAATGGAGTTTTAATCCCACACCACTGAGGCAGAATGTAGTAACAGTTTGGTGTATTTCTTTCTGGCATTTTTATGAATATAAACATAAACATATATACTTCTTAGGATATTAAACATACTTTTGGAAAATTGCTTTACTTAGTGAAGATTATGTTGTGGACATCTTTTCATCTTTTCAACTCTAGGGACTGTTGGACATTTAAGTTGTAAACTTTTCTGTTATTAAAAAATTCTACAATGAACATCCTTGCATACAAAAAAAGCACAATTTCATACTCTATATATATTAATCTCCATAGAGAACAAAATTCCACATTGAGAAAAACAATAAATGCCATACCATGTAACAATTTTATATTTTATTATTTCTGTATTTACTGATTGCACTGGATTGTCAACAAGCATATTAGCTACTCTAGAATCACAATACTGAATACCTAAATTTCTTTTTGCTCTCTAATTTACAAAGTAAAATTAAAGACATTGCTTTTACTCAAGAAAACTTCACTCACTGTGAATCTATTAGACCACTGTTGCATCTTTTGTTTTCTATTTTCTGTTCTCACTGGCTTGACATGTAAAATTACTTGTACTTCAAAACTGAAGTTTGAGGTAAAAATATTTTGCATCAATGACTTCTCTAATTTCCAAAGTACTTTCATTACCTCATTTCCCCTCCATATATGTGTGAAGTGGTTTTATTCTCTATTCTGTCAGTATTCAGTTTAAAAGTCAGAATTTATTCTTACTAACAGAGGGAAACAGAGCTGTATAATTTTGAATGGTGAAAAAATTTTTTAAATTATTTATCTTTGAAAGATGGGTTTGTGATTTTACTTGAATAGAGGTATGTCTGATATTCATGGAATTTCCTTCAAGACAGTGATGAAGCAATGAGGCTATACTATTAAAATCTAATTTAAGATGAGCTGGGAATATATCCTGTTTCCACATGCCTAAAATTCAGTCCATTCTGGAGACTGAGGCAAGGTCCATTCTGGAACAGGGGAGATGGTTAAGTGGTCTAGTTTCAAAGGCAGTCTTTACCTAAAATTAAATAGAGGGACTTGAGATACCAACAAGGTGGGAGAAATTGAACCCATGTTCACTGTAGTTGATTGATTATATTTGAAAACAGGATTAGCCACAGATAACCAAATTTAAATAGTCTAGAGTTGACTCTATACTTATTCATAGTTACTTATATATTGCTTTTTATCAGTATATGTCTCTCTCCAATTAAACTATAAACATATTAAAGGCTCAGATTTAATTCTAATCTTTTAAAGTCAGGGTACACGACATTTGTTACACTCATAAGTGTAACATCACACTGGATGATCACTGGATTGTGATCACTGGATTGATCACAAAGGAGTCTTAAAAAAATAAAATCTTTCTCAATTTAAGACTGCTGGAAATTAATATTTTAAAAGCTTAAAAATTCTCCATTGAGTTATTTAAAGAGAAGATTTTTTTTTGGCTCATCAATACTCTGCCATATAATGAAGTAAAACTGGTAAAACCAGAGAATGAAATTGACGATGTTAATGACCCAATACCTTTCCATCAATGGGAACACCCAGTTCCTCTGAAAACAGGGGGTGAGTTATCCATTTGTAGGCTTCTTTTAGCTGCACTATATCATTTCTTCCCAGCGACAGACTCTGCTTTCTGAATAACATAAAAATTAATTCACTGACATGAAAAATTTCACTTTTTCTAATAAAGGCAAGAATTTATGCAATTATTTTAAAATATTAATTGATTGCCTACTATGTCCCAGGCACTATTTTACACATTAGATAGAAAGCAGAGAACAAGCAGACAAAAATTCCTCAGCTCATGGACCTTATAATCTAGTAGAATCTAAAAACAGCTTTTTAAAATGGTATATAAAACAGTTTTCAAACTCCAAAGACAAAAGTATACTAAGGAGTATTTCTGAGCCACTACTGCCAGATTCCAGGATTTACACATCAGAAGCCAGTAAGGTAGAACAGAAGGGATTGTTTATCACTCAGAAACAACACTGTGTATTACAATAATCTCATCCAGACTAAAAAGGTTTGTATCTACTCTCTTCCTGATAATGTGGCTTACTTTTGGGAAGTCAATGTAAAAGCTATACTTAACTGCCGAAGAAGAAACATATAATCCTAAAGTATCAATGTGCTAAAATGCTTATCAATTTAACATAAGAAAAATGTCTGAATAAAAATCTGACATTCCTCCCAAATCTACTCATGAACCAACAAATAGGTTTGGGAGAGTCTCAGTTATGATCTCTAGGTTTTAGTTTGTAACCTAAAATTGTTATAGAAAGGAACTGAAGAGGGTGCCTAACTGGCTCAGTTGGTAGAGCATGTGACTCTTGATCACAGGGTCATGAGTTGAAGCCCCACATTGGGCATGGAGCCTACCAAAAATAAATATTTAAAAAGGAAGTAATTGAAGTAAAAAGAAAGAAAAACATGCATGGTATGATATTACTAAAACTGCTTTACTATGCTGAGAATACTATGATATCACTAATGAATTAACAAGTCCACATCATTCAAATAATTAAAATGACAAATCGGTCTTAAAAGAGATGGTAGGACCAACTTGTGAATCATTTCTTCTATGTCCAATTTCACAGTAATGACTACTTGTATCAAATATTCATTGTAATTTAATTCTTGAAGACAAAATGTCACTACTAACTGCAGGTAGAAAACAAAAAGTAAGTTAGCTAATGGCTAAATTTAATTGATCTAAAAAATATATAAAGTCGACTTTCCTCTAAGAACACAAATTAACAAATAGTTGATGTACATATTCGATATCCAGCTAAGAGTATATAACTGGTTACACAGAATGCTTTCATATGCTTTGATATTGTGGTTTATGATGAAATACCCAGATAAACCCTACATCTGACAAATAATCAAATTACTCTCTACATTCAAGAACTTATTGAAACACTGTTTGAGCTTCTTAAACTGTTCTTAATTCTCTATCAGAAACATTTTAAGTATTTTATTTTATTTTTTAAAGATTGTATTTATTTATTTATTCATGACAGAGAGAGAGAGAGGCAGAGACACAGGCAGAGGGAGAAGCAGGCACCATGCAGGGAGCCTGATGTGGGACTCGATCCCGGGTCTCCAAGGATTACACCCCAGGCTGAAGGTGGTGCTAAACCGCTGGGCCACCGGGGCTGACCCATTTTAAGTATTTTAAAAGACTATCTTGATATTGCATCAACAGTTCAGTGATATTTGCATAAAATAGCATCACAGTTGAAAAGCAATTAATGTATGAGAACACATTTTAAAGGATAAAAAGTTGAAATAGAAAACACAAGGATAGAAAACTAAACATTCTTTAGACTCTAGAGAGTAAAAGGGTTGCAGCAAAAACCAATCCTAATTATGGGTTAAGGGATACCTGGGTGGCTCAGCTGTTTAGCGCCACCTTCGGCCCAGCGTGTGATCCTGGAGTCCCGGGATCAGGTCCCACATCTGGCTCCTGCATGGAGCCTGCTTCTCCCTCTGGCTGTGTCTCTGCCTCTCTCTGTGTGTCTCTCATGAATAAATAAATAAAATCTTTAAAAAAATACTAAATATGGGTTAAAACATTATTCATGTATTTAAGAAAACTGATATTTTAAATCCTTCATAGTCTTTGAAATATATTTAGACACCTTAGTCCAGTTTAAAAAACAAAACAAAACCAAACAAAACTATAGGTATTTTTTCCTTCCAGAGAAAAGGGCTAGTAGAAAGAGGTTAATAGACATCTTGGAAACCTTAACCTTCTAAACAAGACAAAAATTTAACACTTAAAATGCCAGATTTTCTATTTATTTATTTATTCATTCATTCATTCATTCATTCATGAGAGACACAGAGAGAGACACAGGCAGAGGGAGAAGCAGGCTCCCCGCAGAGAGCCTGTTGTGGGGCTTGGTCTGGGGATCCGGGATCACACCCTGAGCCCAAGGCAGACACTCAACCACTGAGCCACCAGGCATCCCAAAATGCCAGATTTTCAATCCTGTAAATTCAATGTGTCTTACTAACTTTTCTAATATAATTTCGGGTGTTTTCACAGAGGTCCTTAGCATATCCCTGATGGTCCTAGAGGAGTTAGTAGTCACTGAGGTAAATTCAGTCCCAATTGAGTAGTCAGTAACTGCATTTCCCTCTCTCCCCTGTCAGGTAACTCCTGATGAGGATATCAACTGCAATCACTTTTGCTATAGATACAACATGACAACCATTCCAGAGGAAAGATAAACCAAAATATCCGAGCACAATTAATTTTTCTAAATTCTTTGAATCTAAATTCTTTGAATTTCTAAATTCTTTGAATTCCTTAATGGCAATTCCTCTACAATATATTTTTTAAATTTTATTTATTCATGAGACACACAAAGAGAGAAGCAGAGACACAGGCAGAGGGAGAAGCAGGCTCCTTGGGAGAGCCTGATGTGGGACTCGATCCCAGGACCCCAGGATCATGGTCTGGGTCAAAGGCAGATGCTCAACCACTGAGCCACCCAGGTGTGTCCTTCTCTACAATATTTTGAATGTAGAATGAACTACAGATACTGAGGGAAAAGATTAGTACTCGGTATTTTTTCTGTGCCAGTATCTCTATATCAAACAGGATCTTTTGGAAGAGCTAAACTTAGTTTGAAATTCTTCAATAAAGAATACAGCAGCAACTCACAACCAATGTCGATGAAAACTGGAAACATGCCTTGGCTATGCTAAGAAATTTCTCAAACATAGGATCAAATTTTATTATGCCAGAATCACAAGCATTTGAGACTAATTTAACATAACCTAACTACACCCCAAAACCTTGGATAGATATGCATTACCATTTCAGAAAAGCAGATGTGAAATCGAAAATAAACAAAAAAGCCAAATCAATTACTTTTTTAAACCAAACAAGATTATAATACAGAAATCTATACTTCTCTCTGTGCTTTTCTCTCCAGAGTACACAGGAATCTTCCAGTAGTCACATGGCCCCTTTTTTATATTGGTATAGAATATTTAGTTTCAAAATCCAAAAAGGTCTGGAAAATTAAAGATTTTTTTCTTCTTAACTCAGTTGGCAACCTAACACTGACTTGAACATGTGAGGCTGTTTGGAGACTTTGTGTAACAGGCTTAGTGTGAATATTCATGTTTCACTGCAGAAATATTAACGTGTTTGATTATAGAGTACCACCTCAAACCATGGAGGGAAGGGGTATGTTAAATATGGTATTTCATACCATATACATTTCTAAAATCTAAAAAAATTCTCAATTCTAAAACACATTTGGTCCCCAAGAGTTTCAGATAAAGGACTGTGGACTGTCTATACCCAGATAAACTCACTGTTGTTCTGCTGTAAGTAGGATTTTACTTTATCTTTCATAGTGTAGTTTTATAATTTAATTTCTAAGACTAGTATAAAATTTATTCTTTTATAATAGGTTGCCAAGTTACATTATATAAGCACCTAATGTATAAATATAAAATATGTACTTATATTCATTTAAATCTACAAAAAATGAATCCACTTTAATAGAATATTACTAATATGCCATTCAAATAAACTGATTAAACAAGGTTGATACCTAAATTGATAAAATAATATTTTTTTCTGTTAATCTCTCTAGGAGCTAGTGAACTTCCTCTTAAAAGAGATAGTAGTAGTAAAAGTACTTGAAGATTCAGGTAGCTTTTATTTAAATGATCAATTTAAATTACTTACCTACCTAATTACTTACCCCATTTCCTGTTTTACCAGCAACGATGCAGCATGCTGTAAGCAATTTAGTCACACCCGGAAAAAGAGAAAAGGGGGAAAATGTTCATTGAAATGAAGTTCCAGTATCATTACTAAAGTACTTAAAAATTTGTTAATCAAACTCTCCTCTTTAGGGGAGGAGTTAATGTTCAGAAATGTGGCAATGATCTCATTGTCATTTAAAATCAGAAATGAGATAAGATGCCACTTTTCAGTGCTGGGTTGCTTGTGGCCTAGGAATTCAACAGGGGTATCTTCCTCCTCCCTAAAGATTTCTATCTCATTAATGAGGTATAAGTGTTTCACACAGGTAGCTTACTTTTTTCTTAAAATATCTTCCTATTTCACAGATGAAGGCCAAAAGTGACCTAGGATATACTATGTCCCCCAAACAGAATTGAAGGCCTCAGTTTTGTGTTTTATTTTAATAAGGCTACCACATTTTTAACTCTACATGTAAGTGTTTAGAAGTAAAATGTAACAACATCTGTAAATCACTTCAGAATATAACAAAAAGATAAGTGGATGGATAAACTGATGACAAGATCTATAATAAAGGAAATATAGAAAAACAGTAATGACTATAGAATCTAGGTGGGTCTATGGGTGTTCACTGTACAATTCTTTCAACCTTCCTGTACGTTGAAAAATTCTCAATATAAAATGTTAGAGAAAATGTTCTGGGAAGAATTAATCAAAAACTGAAAAAAGTTGCTAAAATGGAGACAGTAACACAATCACGGTTATAAGGATTAAATTCATATAAAATGCTTTACATAGTAAAGTATGTGACACTAAGATTTCTGTTTTCCAATAGGCTCCCAAAGCTGTCACTTTACAGAGAGCTAATGACATGTCCTACCTCAGTATATAGCATTTTGTGAACATGACAGGAGCATACATGTGTAAGTTGATAAAATACCATGTGTAGTCTCTGCATCACCTCTCACAAATGTGGCCATTCATTATTGCTCACATCTACCTCAAGATATGCCCTCCCAACACACACACATACATGTTGTGGTTCATATGTAGAATCCTGTCCTTTTTTTTAACTTCAAATGACCAGTAGGGCACTAGACACTTAAAGACTTGCAATCATTTGGAATTCTTAAGTGTATTATGTTGTTCAGACATGAGCCAAGCAGAATAAATTAATGACTGGTCAAGTAAGAACTAGAACTGTTCCCAATGCCTAAACATCTCATCAGTACCTTCTGATTCAGTAGTTTGTTTACTTTGTAGCTCAACCTAATGTCACTGATAGTACTAAAAGACTCCATCCTTCTTTCCTTCCATTTACTCAAGCCCTCTTTAAAAAGTATATGGGCATGGTATAATAATACACAAATTATTAGGAGTCAGGAGATCTGGTTTTTAGGCTTTACTAAATTTCTGGCACTCAGTTTTTTTTTTCTTTCTTTTTTTTTTTAAGATTTTATTTATTCATGAGAGACAGAGAGACAGAGAGAGAGAGAGAGACAGAGAGAGAGAGAGAGAGGCAGACACAGGCAGAGGGAGAAGCAGGCTCCATGCTAGGAGCCCGATGTGGGACTCGTTCCTGGGACCTCAGGATCACACCCTGGGCTGAAGGCAGACACTAAACCACTGAGCCACCCAGGGATCCCCAGTATAACTGTTTTAGAATAGAGGCTATTAAGACTTATAGGACGTTAAGATTAAAGAAAAAATAATGTGAAGAATGATCTTCCCAAACTGAAACCTTGTAGTCAATATTACCCCACCTTCCTCAGCCTCCATACTTTAAGAGATCAATAAGTATCTGTTTTCTTATCCATAAGGGGATATTAATACTCTCCTTGAAGGGAGATTGTGGGGATTTAACAAACTTGTATATGTAAGGAATCAAGTAAGATTCCTGGCATGTACCTAACAAATAGTTACCTATTACTGTCATTTTTAAAATTAAAACCTTAACTGCAATAAAATTACCATCCCTTAAAAGATTTACAAGACTTGGGATATCTGGGTGGCTCAGCGGTTGAGCGTCTGCCTTTGGCTCAGGTTGTGATCCCAGGTCCTGGGATTGAGTCCCACATCAGGCTCCCCACAGGGAGCCTGCTTCTCCCTCTGCCTATGTTTCTGCCTCTCTCTGTGTCTCTCATGAATAAATAAATAAAATCTTAAAAAAAAAATTTACAAGACTTGAAATTTACAATCCTCTCCCTCACTTCCCAAACTGCTCTGCTGTAGGAAGTCCCAAAATCCTCATGGGTATGTAAGCTACAGAGAGCTATCTGTCCTTTCTTTAAGAGGGTGAAGATTCTTCTGTCCTTTTTTAAGTGACCTTTCTCTCTCCTTTTTTGAGGCAAATTCTGTTTTCTACAGTCACTTTCAGGTGATGCCATCAAATCTGCAAAGTGTCCTGCCATCCTCTGATTATAAAGTAGGGCAGAACTGGAGGTTGCCAAGGGAAACCAGATTACCATGTGTAACATATAAAATTAAATCAAATGTCTTCAGTACCTGAGATTTGCTAAAGGGTTTTTCCTTCTTAATCCTCTGCAGGCTTTCTGCTCAAGCATGCCAGCAGGTTGGACAGAACTAATCACACAGCAGGGGCTAGGAGGCTGAATCCCAAAGAAGTCAGTGTTGCTCAATTATTCAATTTTTACTACGTGCTAATAATGTCCTGGACCTGCTTCTGCTGAGGAAGAAAAGTACATTTCTTTCAGGTCACTAAGATAATTTTAATAAATGTTCTATTCCTTAGTCAGTGGGAAAAAAATCATTCTCTAGAGTAAGCAATTTAATTCTTCTTCCCCAACAGAACCAAATGGCATTAAAGTTATCAAGTTTAATCAAATTTGGTACCAAAGGCAGTATGTCACCTCCTGAAAATTCAGGAACCACACAACTTAATCCTGGACTCTGCTGTAGCTTTGCTGGAGGATTCTAGGCAAGTACTAGATAGAGCAGTTGAATAACCTGCTTGCTAAAGTGCTGTGTACTCTTGTATATCATGCATGCACGCGCGCGCGCGCGCACACACACACACACACACACACACACACACACACACCATGGAAAATCTATGCCTGGGAATGGCTTTAGAGCGTAGAGTTTTGAGATGGGGGTTCATCAAGCACCAAACAATGAGAGTGTGTAACAGTAGTACCAGAAATTGAGGCTGATTTAAGCAGAGGTTGCAGGAAGAAAGGATAGAGAGACAGAGGCATTAAAAATGGCATGTTGGGGGGCTACAATTCAGTAAAAGCTGGTGCCTAGGGTATTTATAATGTGTGCATAAATGTGAGTAGGTGTTCAACAACTAGAGATGAAACTGGAAAGGTCAGCAAGTTTTAAGTGCCAAGCTAAGGCATGACTCCAAAGAATGAAACCATAACAAAAGTAGTGCCACATTTACGCGCATGCAAAGTCCCATGGCAGGACAAAGAATGGACAACATTTGATCTTTTTTTGACATTTGATCTTCTGTAATTCATCAAGTCACAATATATGCATCATCTGCATACTATCATTTTCCTTATGCGGTAGCCTCAGGAAAAAAAATAGCTCTTATACCAAATTACTTCATTATTTTATATATATATACATATATGTATACACACATATGTATATATATATATAATCCTATATATATGATAATATATAGTGTAGGAATGCAGAGGAGTACAAAGCTGTGAGAGATAACTGAGACAGACTGCCAGGACTTGGTGACCAGCAGTGATACCACGGTTTCTAAATTACCACTAATGCCCTTTTTAAAACTCTAAAATCTTTCAAACCCTACACATCTCCTGGACTCATTTATAAATAACAGAGATAATATAGATTTGTACCAACAGGAAAATGACAATAGTTGTGTGGTCAACTAGAGGTATTACTCCTTATTCTCTCTTTTCCCAACAACTACACATACACATACATACATTTAGTTATTCTACTGTCACACAAATAGGCAACTGGGAATTATGCTAAACAACAAGGTCAGTAACAACAGTACCTCTCCCTTCCTCTTCCCGCCCAGGATGCCTCCCTAACCTTTCCTTCTTTCCCTCCCTGTCCCCCAGCCTGCTACAACCATGAGCATCTGCCTCACCAAGGCTCGCTCCTCACTTTGTGTCAGGGTTGGTTGGTGGCAGGCATGGTGGCAGAAAGAGGTAGGTAAGAGAGGAGGGAAGAGAATGCACTCCTATAACCTTTGCTGGTCTCTACCACCTAGCTGAGGTAAAGGCTCCTTGCTCATGTCTCCTCACCCCTACCACCTCCCTGCCTCAACATCACTCTTCTTTTACCGGGTCACTGATGTCTGATGTAATGACTAACAGACTGAATCTGGGTATCTCTTCTGATGAATGAAACTTATCAGCTATGTTTGAAAACCCACCCATATCCTCTACATTATCTTTCCCTATAGGGTTCAGGGGGGAGGAAAATAGAGTGAGACATAAATCCTTCTCACTCCAGCTTTTCCTACTACTGCTGGTAATACAATCCTTGGGATAGCATTAAAAAGATTGAACTTTTTATTTTTGACATGGCAAGAGGGGAAGACTAAGAACAAATCAGCAAAGACAGAATGAATCTGTGGGCCAAATTAGGTTGTACAGTTCTAATGACCTAGTTCCCAGGGAAATTCTCTATCTAAGTTGTGAGTTTTAAGAAAGAAAATTTCTGTTGTATTTTCCAATATTCTAGGTGCTGATGTGTGCCTAGCTCTGAAGGATTTAATTGGAAATAATCACAAAAGGAAATTCAGTGGGGGTGGGAAGGTTAGGTAGGAATGGAGGTAGGAAGCAGGATCAGAAAAGACAGAACAGCTTCCATGAATGAAAGGCTCTGGGATAGGGGCACCTGGGTGACTCAGTGGTTGAACATCTGCCTTTGGCTCAGGGCGTGATCCCAGGGTCCTGGGATCGAGTTCTGCATCAGGCTTCCCACAGGAGGTCTGCTTCTCTCTCTGCCTATGTCTATGCCTCTCTCTTTCTGTGTCTCTCACGAATAAATGTTTTAAAAAAAGACTCTGGGAT